TGTCGAGCTTTATATATCCCCCATGTCCCATGTCTAGCTTCATATATCCCTTATGTCCCATGTCCCATGTCTAGCTTCATATATCCGCCATGTCCCATTTCTAGGTTCATATATCCCTCATGTCCCACTTCTAGGTTCATATATCCCCCATGACCCATGTCAAGCTTCATATATTCCCCATGTCCCATGTCGAGCTTTATATATCCCCCATGTCCCATGTCGAGCTTCATAGATCCCCAATGACCCATGTCAAGCTTTATATATCCCCCATGCCCCCTGTCTAGCTTCATATATTTCCCTTATGTCCCATGTCTAGCTTAATATATCCGCCATGTCCCATTTCTAGCTTTATATATCCCTGATGTCCCATATTGAGCTTCATATATCCCCCATGCCCCCTGTCTAGCTTCATATATATTTCAAGCTTCATATTTCCCCAATGTCCCATGTCAAGCTTCATATTTCCCCAATGTCCCATGTCAAGCTTCCTATAATCCCCACGTCCCAAGTCAAGCTTCATATATCTCCCAAGTCCCTTGTCTAGCTTCATATTTCACCCATGTCCCATGTCTAGCTGCATATATCCTTCATATATCCCCCATATCCCATGTCTAGCTTCCTATATCCCCAATGTCCCATTTCTAGGTTCCTATAGCTCCCATGTCCCATGCAAGCTTCATATCCCCCCCATATCCCATGTCAAGCCTCATATATACCCCAAGTCCCATTTCTAGGTTCCTATAGCTCCCATGTCCCATGCAAGCTTCATATCTCCCCCATATCCCATGTCTAGCTTCAAATATCCCCATGTCCCATGACTAGATTCATATATCCATGTCTCATGTTAAGCATCATATATCCCCCATGTCACATTTCTAGGTTCATATAACCCTCATGTCCCACTTCTAGGTTCATATATCTCGCATGTCCCATTTCTAGCTACATATATCCCCCATGTCTCATTTCTAGGTTCATATTTCCCTCAAGTCCCATTTCTAGCTTCATATCTTCCCAATGTTCCATGTTTAGCTTCAGATATCCCCCATGTCCCAAGTCTAGCTTCATATAGCCCCCATGTCCCATTTCTCGCTTCATATATCTCCCAAGTCCCTTGTCTAGCTTCATATTTCCCCCATGTCCCATGTCAAGCTTCCTATATTCCCCACGTCCCAAGTCAAGCTTCATATATCCTGTCTAGGTTCATATATCCCTCATGTCCCCCTTCTAGGTTCATATATCCCTCATGTCCCCCTTCTAGGTTCATATATCTTGCATGTCCCATTTCAAGCTTCATATTTCCCCAATGTCCCATGTCAAGCTTCATCTATCCCCCATGTTCCATGTCTAGCTTCCTATATCGCCCTTGTCCCATTTCTAGGCTCATCTATCCCCCATATCCCATGTCTAGCTTCCTATATCCCTGATATCCCATGTCCCATGTCGAACTTCATATATCCCACATTATATATCCCTGATGTCCCATATTGAGCTTCATATGTCCCCCATGTTCCATGTCTAGCTTCATATAATTTCTAGGTTCATATATCCCCCCTGTCCCATTTCTAGGTTCCTATAGCTCCCATGTCCCATGCAAGCTTCATATCCCCCCCATATCCCATGTCAAGCTTCATCTATCCCCCATGTCCCATCCCATGTCCCATGTCGAGCTTCATATATATCCCCAATGACCCATGTCAAGCTTTATCTATCCCCCATGTCCCATATATCCCTTCTGTCCCATGTCCCATGTCTATCTTCATATATCCCCCATGTTCCATGTCTAGCTTCATATAATTTCTAGGTTCATATAGCTCCCATGTCCCATGCAAGCTTCATATCCCCCCCATATCCCATGTCTAGCTTCCTATATCGCCCTTGTCCCATTTCTAGGCTCATCTATCCCCCATATCCCATGTCTAGCTTCAGATACCTCCCAAGTCCCTTGTCTAGCTTCATATTTCACCCATGTCCCATGTCTCTAGCTTCATATATCTTGCATGTCCCATTTCAAGCCTCATATATGCCCCATGTCCCATTTTTATCTTCATATGTCCCCATGTCCCATTTCAAGCTTTATATATTCCCCATGTCCAATTTCTAGCTTCATAGATCCCCCATGTCCCATTTTATGTCCCATGTCCCATGGCCAGCTTCATATATCCCACATTATATATCCCTGATGTCCCATATTGAGCTTCATATGTCCCCCATGTTCCATGTCTAGCTTCATATGTCCCCTATGTCACATTTCTAGGCTCATATATCCCCCATATCCCATGTCAAGCTTTATATATTCCCCATGTCCAATTTCTAGCTTCATATAGCCCCCATGTCCCATTTCAGGTTCAAATATCCCCTTATATCCCATGTCTAGCCCCATATATCTCCCATGTCCCATTTCCAGCTTCATATATCCCACATTATATATCCCTGATGTCCCATATTGAGCTTCATATATCCCCATGTCCAATATGTCCCATGTATCATGTCTAGCTTTATATGTCCACCATGTCCCATGTCTAGGATCATATATCCCCCATGTATTTCTAGCTTCATATAACCCCCATGTCCCATTTTATGTCCCATGTCCCATGTCTATCTTCATATATCCCCCAAGTCCCATGTCTCATGTCTAGCTTCATATATTCCCAATGTTCCATGTTTAGCTTCATATATCCCCCATGTCCAATTTCTAGCTTCATATATCCCCCATGTCCCATTTCTAGGTTCATATATCCCCCATGTCCCATGTCTAGGTTCATATATCCCCCATGTCCCCTGTCAAGCTTCATATATCCCCCATGTCCCATTTCTATTTTCACATATTCCCCATGTCCCATGTCTAGCTTCATATATTTCCCTTATGTCCCATGTCCCATGTCTAGGTTCATATATCCCCCATGTCCCATTTCTAGGTTCATATATCCCTCATGTCCCATTTCTATTTTCACATATTCCCCATGTCCCATGTCTAGCTTCATATATCCCTGATATCCCATGTCCCATGTCTAGCTTCATATATCCCCCATGTCCCATATCTAGCTTCATATATCCCCAATGTCCCATTTCTATTTTCTCATATTCCCCATGTCTCATGTTTAGCTTCATATATCCCCCATGTCCCATGACTAGATTCATATATCCCCCATGTCCCATATCTGGCTTCATATATCCCCCATGTCCCATTTCTAGCTTCATATATCCCCCATGTCCCAAGTCTAGCTTCATATATCCCTTATGTCCCAAGTCTAGCTTCATATATCCCCCATGTCCCATGTCTAGATTCATATATCCCCCATGTCCCATATCTGGCTTCATATATCCCCCATGTCCCATTTCTAGCTTCATATATCCCCGATGTCCCATATCTAGCTTCATATATCCCCCATGTCCCATGGCTAGCTTCATATATCCCCCATGTCCCAAGTCTACCTTCATATATCCCCCATGTCCCAAGTCTAGCTTCATATATCCCCCCTGTCCCATGTCTAGCTTCATATATCCCCCCTGTCCCATGTCTAGCTTCATATATCCCCCCTGTCCCATGTCTAGCTTCATATATCCCCCAAGTCCCATGTCTAGCTTCATATATCCCACAAGTCCCATGTCTAGCTTCATATATCCCCCAAGTCCCATGTCTAGCTTCAAATATCCCCCATGTCCAATGTCTAGCTTCATATATCTCCCATGTCCCATGTCTAGCTTCATATATCACCCATGTCCCATGTCTAGCTTCATATATCCACCATGTCCAATGTCTAGCTTCATATATCCCCCATGTCCAATGTCTAGCTTCATATATCTCCCATGTCCCATGTCTAGCTTCATATATCTCCCATGTCCCATGTCTAGCTTCATATATCTCCCATGTCCCATGTCTAGCTTCATATATCTCCCATGTCCCATGTCTAGCTTCATATATCTCCCATGTCCCATGTCTAGCTTCATATATCACCCATGTCCCATGTCTAGCTTCATATATCACCCATGTCCCATGTCTAGCTTCATATATCCCCATGTCCCATGACTAGATTCTCATGTCCATTATGTCTCATATGTCCCATGTCCCATGTCTAGCTTCATATATCCCCTATGTCCCATGTCTAGCTTCATATATCCCCATGTCCCATGACTAGATTCACATGTCCATTATGTCTCATATGTCCCATGTCCCATGTCTAGCTTCATATATCTCCCATGTCCCATGTCTAGCTTCATATATCCCCCATGTCCCATGTCTAGCTTCATATATCCCTCATGTCCAATGTTTGTTCTGCATGAAAAATTGTTTTAAATTCTGAATTGTTTGCATGTTTTGTTATTAGTGAATGGAATATGTAAATAAAGAATTTGAATGTTGATCATGATACCCTCCAGTGATAATGATATTGTTGTTGAGAAAATAATTTTTATTGGTGGAGGGTGATGCGATTCTCAATCTGAATTTTAATAGCCGTAGGTATTTTTTTATTAACATATGATTTTAATGAGATTGTCTGATTCTGAATTCTGGAATTGGATGAAAAATTGTCAAACAAAAGTTTTAATTTTAGAGTTCAAGGTCATAAGGCGCCAATAATTATATTTACAACCTATTTATTGAGATTTGTTGGTGTCTTTTTTTCTATATAATATATATATTGTGTTTAACCATTAATTATCTTTAATACATTTATTATCTTTATGATTTTTGATTTGATGAAACCTGAAACAGCAAAATGCGTAGCTAGTATATTGACTAATATGAGAAGAAATGATTTCATTAATAATGAACAACCACAATCTAAAATTTTGTTCCAATTTGATTTTAAAATGAATATAGACATCAGCAGAGGCAGTGGGATATTATTTTGTCATTCTGGCAACATTTATAGTTTTACTCTTTAATTTAAATTTTTAGTTTTAATTATTGATGATATCAATTCAAAATACATTGTAATATCTAAATACTTAATATAAAAATATTATAAAATAATTAAGACATTATAATGGCCATTTTTAAAACCTTTGTCATTTATTTGTCAATCTGAATAAATACAGCTGTTCATTATAGCATACCGCATGGACATGTAATACTGTAATTTATTTTATTATAAATGTATCTGGTGTCCTGAAGGTTGCGATTCCTACATTGCAAATCAGAGGACCACAGGAAAATCGCCAAACTCCTGTTTAGAGGATCAAGAGTGGCGAATGTGGAGAGGAGTGTCATTGATATTTTGAAAAATGTTTGCCCAGAGGAAATAGTTGCGGCCACAGCATGTATTGTAATTAAAGTGTGTAAAGAATTGTCAATGAGACAGTACTACAGCACAAAACGCGCGACGGAATCGAACCCCCAACACCCTATTAGTGGTATTATCTATGGTTACGGACGTCCCACAGTCAGCATCCAAGGAAAACCCTTCTACCACGTGATGAATGCAGTGGCTGTAGCCCTTCATGGAAGATCACGGGAGATGACTGTGCTTCAGTATCTGACAGGCATGATCTTGCTACATGGTGGATGCCCATACAAGGTAAATGTCTTAAGATTCCATTTAGACTAATATAATTACCGGTATAACCCCTGTGGCAGAGAAATTTCGACCCAATGGGTTTTTGTATTGTATTGATAACCTGAACAGTTTCCATGTAGCAGACAACTCGGATGTGACAAATACATGTTTAACTCTTTTTTACATGTTAGAGATACGACAAAGACACAGTTCCGGTAGGTAGATGTTTAATCTCGTCAGAGACGACAAGTACCGTACTTATCAACGGCATCTGAAAATGATTATTTACAAATTTTATATGTCATATGTGAGTATGTGTAATGAAATAAAAATGAATTCTCCGCTGATGAGATCAATCGCCACTGAACACTGTTAATGAAAAGTAACGTAAGAAATCGCGATTGTACACTGTCCCTTCAGTTGTCTATAAATAGTATCATAAAGTCTCATATATTGTTTAGAAGCACTTCCGGTGTACTATAGATGGTCCGCATTCGTCGTACTCCTCTTTACTGATCCACATCTGTTGGAATGTGGATAGTGACCCAAGGATTGATCCGCCGATCCACACAGAGTACTTCCGTTCAGGTGGGGCAATGACCTTCACCTTCATACTGTTTGCTACTATGGCCGATAGCTCCTTCGTCATCCGGTCGGCGATTCCTAAATCAAAATTCCAAGATATGAATATCAATATCATACTGAACACGCTATAACAATAGTTTGTATTGTGTCAACATTATATTGTATTGTGTCAACAATATATTGTATTGTGTCAACAATATATTGTATTGTGTTAACAATATATTGTATTGTGTCAACAATAGTTTGTATTGTGTCAACAATATATTGTATTGTGTTAACAATAGTTTGTATTGTTACAATATATTGTATTGTGTTAACAATATATTGTATTGTGTTAACAATATATTGTATTGTTACAATATATGGCTAAATAATTATATAATGCAGTCAATAGAGTAGAGAGCTCCAGCGGAGTTTCACATACATCTGGTTACCTCCCCTTAATTTCGTTTTTGGACGGAACTGTCGCTAGTTAAGTCCAGGTTGTTCAGTTGATGAAAACACAGTATCTAGGATAGGAGGTTTAGGGTTCCAAACCAGGTCTAGGTCTTAATACTATATTTGTAATTTCAATGTGTTTTTTTTATATGTTAATTATTAATTACACGTTTTGGTTAAAAACCTTTTTTTTGGCTCAAAAGGAATAGCATTTTCAATATGTTCCTCTATTTCCCCAATAGGGCTCCACCCCTCTGCTCCCAGACAACAAAAACTCTTACGATAATGTGTATTTCAAGGGGGTAAAACTTGTACGCCGCACTCATTCGTGAAAATTACGGTTTTTTACATATTATTAGAAATATAGAGATTAATGACATGTTATTTTCAGACATAAACGGCATTTTTCACATGCTGTTCTGACTTTGTTTGTTGTGATCGTGGTTATTTTTGTTTACTCCCGTACCCATGCTAAGGGGGCATCACTCCGTCAAGCTATGTGCATAATAATTTAACTACCACCACATTTTCTGATGACGTACGCCTATTATCGCTTTTGAACATGACCCAGTTACTGCGCATGTCAGAATGGCAAAAAAAAAGTGCCGTTAGCCAAATAGTGCTTGTCGCCACATGAAAGTGATTAATTCACTGTATGAACCTCGAGAAAGCAAAAAAAGTAATTTGCTTATAAACGATAATGAATGGCGCGTTTCACATGATTTAATTTATAGAAAATATTCGTATTGTGAAAACAATTATTTGACTACTGATATACATTTTGTTGGTTATCGAAATTTTCTTAGCTATGCTAATCGATATTTTAGGTATTTTAGGACTTTATATGAACTTTATTATTTCATTTCTTTTTGCGTTTAAAATATAATTAACATGGAAATAAAATTGAACTTATATAAATCCATCAATTTCAAGACTTTTGAGGTTTTGAGCCCCAGACAGATTTCAGTAATAGTCGAAGGTTAAGACAACATGACAAGTTGATTAAATATGGATCCTTCCTTCCTCAAAGTGAACGGGGCTACCCTCATTTAAGTTCTCTGCACCCTCGAAATATTTCCTCACAAAATCGAAGGCACGCGGTTAGCTATATGATCAATTAGCAATTTGAGCGGTTTCGGGAAAAAATCCTGACCAATCACTAGGCTGATAAATGGAGATTACACAGGAGCGACACCTGACTTCAAAGACGATCAATTTTACCGTTACGCTTTCGCGCGATTGTATTAAACAAGTCTACCTGTATCCTTGGATTCGTCCATGATATTACCCAGTTATCGGTACAGACAGCATCAGAGAGCGTGACTCGTAAAATATCTAAGACACGTTTTTACGTCCTATTATTAGCTATGGTCATTTGTAGACGTGCCAGGTTTTGCTGCGAACAAACTTACCCGGAAACATGGTGGTTCCCCCGGAAAGAACCGTGTTGCTATAGAGATCCCTCCGTATGTCGATGTCTGACGTCATAACCGACTTGTTAACGAGTTCATGGATCCCTTCCGCCTCCATTCCTGTTCCATGAATAAACATAGATACAATTATTTGGATAACTTTTCTCCACGTTTTAAATATTACAATGGTTTTTATTGTTAAAAAATAGGAAACAATCCCGTTAGTTTTTGCTTCTTGAACAAGAGACAGAACGGGTGTCAGTATAATAAAATGCTAAGTATGTCATATAACCATTGAAGACTTTTTATTTCGGTGAATGCGTGGTTTTATGAACCTGAAATAGTTATATTAACGTAATTTCCTCAGGTCCATATAACCACATAACCTTAACATAATTGACAAATAATGAAATATCGACTCTATGTTACAATATTTGTCAATATTCATTTGATGACGTCACTTGAACTGTAACGTCACATTGCTCTCTACCAAACGTATTACTTTTCTCTTGGCAGTTTGCTAAGTTCCATCTTGTTTCATTATAAAGCAAAATAATTCCAAACATTAACAATTAAGGACTTTTGGTGACTATGTGTTATATGGACCTGAACATTAGTATTTATCGCGACTTCCTTTCTGTCAATATCGTGTTCATATGTCTATATGGCAACACATTCCCTTCAACAAAAGTCCATCATTTTATACATATTTATCGTTTTTATTACAATAATAATACATTTTCACAAATATTGAGCCGAAAGGATTGGAAAGGTCAACCAAACGTAGGAATAGCTCAGTAATACAAAATAAATATATCTATTATCACAAATAAATTAAAAATCACTCACATAAATAGACTAAATTGCCAAATTTGTTTTTCGGGGCGACTGCAGCGTTTGTTGGCAATTCCCAGATGCATATGTCAGTATCATTATCGTCACAATCAACTGATGTTTTTTTTCTTTCTAGTATCGAAATTAATCACGTTGACGTTATTCCTGTGGAGTCCGTCCACCATTGTTTCATTCCAGTAACTAAAGAGGAAATTGCAGTTACACGTACCTTTAAAAGATGGCTGAAATAGTACTTCAGGGCACCGGAAGCGCTCGTTGCCTATAGTTACAATCGTTCCGTCCGGAAGTTCATAGGATTTTTCTGTACTTGACGATGTACTCGCAGAGCTCATCTCAGACTCGAAGTCCAAAGCTACATAACATAGTTTCTCCTTCATATCCCGGACCAGTTCGAGTTCAGCTGCAACAATAAAAATACTTAAGATCTTCATTGGGTTTAATTTCAGATAAGATATGTGAAATTAATCTGAAAGTTTTCATTTTAGTGAGACTCAGTTGGGCTAAAATAAATTCAGAACGGGTTCTTCAATGAAGTTACAGAGACAAAATTCCATTTTTCTCGCATAATCAATTTGAATATCTGCACAATATAGTGTGTGTGTTTTTTTAAATTTCAAGTCACCATTTCGACTTCGTATTTTATGGTGTCCGATGTGACGTCACTTTGCCATGACGTCGCGTCTATCATCTTTATAATGACGGGACAATATTAGTAGGTATGTTTAGTAACATGAAATCATACACACGATATCTGATTTAGATGTATTCATTGTATACTACAGTAGTCCAAGTGATAAAAAACATGCATCTTTTATGTTTGTATAATAATAGTACCCTAATATTACATATGTGTTTTTCAACGTTGTTTAGCATTTAGCTGAATTGAATCGCATTAAGAAATCTTCATTTATATTCATTTTATTTCTTTATTATCTAGTTGTTTTTCAAACGCTTAATTTACCTTTAACATAAACTTTGACGATTTAATACTTGTTTACCATTTCTCATGCATCTGAGTCTAGCTTTATTTTCTTATCGGAAACAGAACGTATTATTTACGTATACATGTAAATTGAAGTATTGACGCAGTTACTTCCCTTTGTTGTTAAGTTACGATGACGTGGGTTCTACCGAAAGTAGCACCAACAGAGTGACATTATGGGTAGCAATATTTCTGGTTAGTGTCCTGATGTTGAAGTATTTTAATTACCTGACGTGTTGAAATTGTAGCCGCGCTCGTGTAAGATCCTCTTTAAGTAGGCGGTCAGGTCCCTCCCGGCGAGGTCCATCCTGTTTATGGCGTGGGGCAGCGAGTAGCCTGTTGAAATAAACTTTATACTCTACAAAACTTCTTCTGATTCCAGAAATACCTATATATTTGTGAATCCTTGATAAGAGTGAATCTTAAAATAAAACACCAGTCTTAAAGGAAAATAACAAGCACCCAAACGGAAAACTGAATCACTCCCTTCATCGATTTTAATGCATAATATTTTTCCAATATAAATAATTCGCCGAGAAACTAGAATGGGACAAATTAGATGCTATAGTCAGTAACGACATTTTTATAAATTACTAGTTATTTCACAATTGTATTTGCTTTGACCTTTCCCATCGAATTTATAGGAAGGGAGATAACTCTTATAAGAAAAGAAGAACTTATTATTTTATGTTTAACATTATTTTTAATAATAAAATATCAGGTTTTGCGGTAAGAATGAAGTTGACAAATAACAGTTTTATTTTGCCCAATTTGTGGAATATGCTCATATCAATCAACAACAAAAACATACCACACATGTATAACCGTGTATCATCAAAAACGAAAATATCATTTCTAGAACTATTGCAACAATTTAAGATCACATTCTTACTAAAATGTGTGATGAAGCATTTAGAAATATATGGACGCTAAAAAAAAGACGCCATTTCCTTTACAACGAAAATGGACAGACTACCACGGAAAGATCCGAATTACCCCGGAAACACTCGAGTTACTACGGAACGGAACTTACCCTCGTATATTGGGACAACATGGGAAACACCATCGCCGGCGTCAAACACTACTCCCGTGGTCCGACCGGACGCATAAAGGGAGAGAACTGCTTGTACACTGACGTAAAAAGCTGGTGAATTAAATGTCTCAAACATAATCTGAAACACGAGAAGAAAATGATATAAGCTAACATTGTAGACTGGCTACCAGCCACTGAGTTTTTATGAAGAATTTCCCAGTTGCATTTTACTACTAGCTTATCTCCCCTTGTTAAAGAACTAAGAATTCAATATTCTAGAGACAGGGGCCAGTCTACTAATATTGATGTACAGTTTAAGTTGGTATAGAAGACAGAAGGTGTGTACAGGTTATAGTTTTTTTTGTATAAATCCCAATGTTAAAATGACACGACCTTTGCATATTTTACAAAATATTCTTAGTTATGGGCCACAGCATCATGCAGGTCGTCAATAAAATTGAATCCTGTTTTTGTAGTTGTATTTTGAAATTTGCCTTCAATTTCAAAACGAAGAGATTTTACTCATTTGCCATTCATGTGTAGCAAGAAAACACTTAAACACAAAATAAATAGATAAATAAGTTGTCAAATAAATCGAATTTTCATGAAGACTCAAGAAATCGAACGTTATTAATTTTATGATTTTTTTATAACTTTACTGATATCAAATGGACGAACCTGGGTCATCTTTTCCCTATTAGCCTTCGGATTCTGTGGTGCCTCTGTGAGCATGACCGGATGTTCCTCGGGCGCCACTCGGAGCTCATTATAAAAGGTATGGTGCCAGATTTTCTCCATGTCGTCCCAGTTGGTGACGATTCCGTGCTCTATCGGGTAGCGGAGACTAAGTATACCTCTCTTACTCTGGGCCTCGTCACCCACGTAACAGTCCTTACCTCCCATCCCCGTCATCACGATCTGTCAATCAAAACTATATTTAAGGGTGCTCGTACCATTATCTAAATAATGGAAAATGTTTATTTTTTTCCGGCATGAGCAAGGCTTTGATAAACCATTTATGAAAAGAAACCCATTCCTTGCGGGACTTTTATTAAAAATTAATAAGGATGAAATAAACAAAATATTATCAATAACAGTGTAAAACAATCCACAGGGCTAGACCGAGATTTGAACCCTGGACCTCCGATTGTTATACTATTGCTCTAACTAATTGAGCTACCTGGTCATCCGAGTATTCTGGCCCAACTGTGCTACAGTTATATCCAAACGGAATTTAAGGGAAATTTACTGTATATTGAAAAAAAACACTTTGTGCATGCATAACACACAATTCGTTTTTTTTTCATATTGAATATGTCAATAAGAGGCAGCATCTTTTTGCGATATTTGTCTGTTATATTGGACCATCTCATTGCATTTAAGATATTGCTAGCTGTGTCTAGACCATATTTTTGTTATGATCCATTTCTGCGTGGCACGCGCAGTAATTGTCTTGCACAACTCATTTCCATTTTTCTTCCGGTATCGTTAATTAGCTTGATAACTCCGGCCTTATGGTCAAGGATTCAAATGTTGGATATGATATATAAAGACGATCATAACCACAACCTCTAGTTCACTCAGGATGGCCCATCAGGGACGTCTGTTTATTTCCTATCGGTGACGATTTGAAGACTAACTTTTGTACCGAACACGCCCCATCAGGGAATGGAATTCTTACTGAAAAGGACTGGAAATGATAATGAATCTATCTTACCTCGTATCTAGGACGTCCTACGAGGGACGGGAAGACAGACCTTGGCGCATCATCCCCTGCAAATCCAGCTTTACACATTCCGGATCCATTGTCAATTATTAGTGCAGATAATTCGTCTTCCGGGTTCATCCTTACGTTGGGTTGTGTGATGATTAAATCTGTGACAATGTATTACATGTTAATATAAATGGTTGTGTCACCATTTCTCAGTAGAATTTCTTCAACTTTTGTAGTTATATTGATTTGAAGTAAAGAAAATTTTCTGCCACCAAACTAAATACAGGTTGTCCGAAACTTAAGGATTTTATTTGGAAATTTATGTAAAAAGGAGTGAATTTTGAAATGAAAGACACAATTTTTTGCAAAATAATGTCAATAAAAATGATACTGACATAGATAAGTATTGCATTAATGTATATCAATTTAATCAATGCTGAAATTGTGTAAAATTAATTATCTATAAACGATTAAAAATTGACATTTTATAATTAAACTCTATACAAATAGTAATTGCGTGTAAGAGTTATCGTTCTTGAAAACTTCACATTAGTGAAATAGGTAGCGGTTTCATATGACTCAATTTAAAAAAAAAACTGAATTAATGCCTGGATTACTTTGTAATACTTTAACATTGAAAGAACACACTCTTCTGTAGTCAATAATAAACATACAATAGTCATCAGTTTAATATTAAACGTTAGAATTTCCGTTTATCAAGACACTCTTCAATCGGGAACCGTCGGCACTTTCCGTAAACGAGAAATACGTATATTCTCGTTTACGGAAAGTGCCGACGGTTCCCGATTGTACACTCCTATGACCGTTATAGCATGTTCAAACATAACATTACACACAGAATGTAGTCATTTCTTCAGTAAAACAAATAGACTGGATAAAATTGGAACAAGTTTAATAGTATATCATATCCACGAATCAGGCATGATGAATGACATTTATAATATCATAAAATCAAAACTGGTGATTTTATCATTTGATTTTCTAGCCTTCACAATTAAAAGTCAAAGAATATGTTCAGCTTGCGAAAAATATAATTATGAAGATGAGGTACATTTTATTCGCATTTTTACTGCTTTTTCTGAAAGAAGAAACACATACATTAAGCAATATTACTACTGACGCGCCAGTGTGTAAAGGTTAATCGAATGTAAAAGTGTTAAAACCTTAAGTCGATAGCCAAAATAAAACCCCTCGTGTAATGGTATGTAATTATGTGTAATGCTAGATTTCTGGTACAGAATTTCTTATTCTCTACACCAAACTCAATACATAATAATTGTTATAAATAGAAAAGTGTTTTTATTGCAACGACAATACAGTTCATCAACAAGCTTTGAAGTTAAACGATAAACCAATGCTTTCCCAGTGTTTTTACAGTTCAATTTTTGAAACAATTCAAATTATTAGCACAGTTGCTGAAATATGTATTCAGTGTTGTGTGATAAATGCTAATATGGAAATGTCCTCTGCCATCTTGAACCGTTGCAATATGTTTAATGTATTATGTATTACTTTCGGAAATGAAATAAGCTTAAAATTGAAATAATTACAAGATATATGTGCATCTGTAAGCCTCATAAAATTCTTGTGTAATGAAAAGTAGTAGGATAAAACGCTTACTTTGAAACATTTAACACTTTAGCAACAAAAACCCCAACTCTGACCCACCCCTACCACAGTGCCTTCCTCGAAACATTTAACACTTTAGCAACAAAAACCCCAGCTCTGACCCTCCCTTACCACAGTGCCTTCCTCGAAACATTGAACACTTTATCAACAAAAACCCCAACTCTGACCCACCCTTACCACAGTGCCTTCCTCGAAACATTTAACAGTTTAGCAACAAAAACCCCAACTCTGACCCACCCTTACCACAGGGCCTTCCTCGAAACATTTAACACTTTAGAAACAAATACCCCAACTCTGACTTACCCCTACCACAGTGCCTTCCTCGAAACATTTAACACTTTAACAACAAAAACCCCAGCTCTGACCCACCCTTACCACAGTGCCTTCCTCGAAACATTTAACAGTTTAGCAACAAAAACCCCAACTCTGACCCACCCCTACCACAGTGCCTTCCTCGAAACATTTAACACTTTAGAAACAAAAACCCCAACTATGACCCACCCCTACCACAACGCCTTGGCAATTATTTTAGTATTTAGTTATCCAAATATAACGTTGGGAATTATTACACCTAGCAAGCTGAATTTGGAAAGCATTTGTTCAATTACTGCATTATTCTGGTAAACCGTTTCATAATTTTCACTTACATCCAAATATCAAGTTGAATAAATATTGCAATTTCAAAATCGTATTGCTAAGCAGATAATATTGCAATATGTTGTTGACTGTAATTATGACAAAACAATCCATATATAATAGATAAATAAATAACTAATTAAATAAATAAATAAATAAATGTATGCAGTATTTACCTGTGTGAAGTCTGATCAGCTATCCCGTCGTGTATGAAATCCAACCCTATACCAGGTTACATCTATATATACGTTTATTTGGTTCGTTCTGAGAATTCGTGTGAGTTTCCCTTCAGGAAAACAAATCCTCTGATACCATATATGGATTCGTTAACTATGAAATCCCTTATAAGGTCATACTACTATACCTTGTTAAGGCTCTCTATATTTCATTTCTCTTGTCATGGACAAAAATAATTTACCCGGGCGCTCTCTTTGCACATTAAATCACAGCTATAAATAACTATTACAGTCATTTTAAATGACTATACGCGGTATAAAGTGCCTACTTGTAAGTTGTATTTTTGTTTCGTTATTTATGATGGATCACTAACAACCCAACAATAAAAATGATATCTATATTTAAGAATTAGTGGTGCATCGATTGAGCAAAAAAGGTGAAATGCTGAAGAACCGATTATGACAAGCATTTTACTGATTTGATACAACAGCGTTTATGAGAGTTCGCTCCCTTTGATCACTCAACGACACTAACTAATTTTGAAACTTTTTTAACGGTGGAAAGCGAGGCTGTATTGCCTGTTTCATGTCTGATTGTCCAGTTGTGGTGTGCAGTGCTTTTATCTCAATTCAGTGTTCGAGCTTTGGTTTTATATAGGCCTAACATTTTCTGTTGTACCAACCTTCATCCGCCTCAAGGTTTTGTTGCACATCTGATAGTGATATTACCACGGAATTGGATATAAGTACGTGATATTACCAGCTACACTCGATCTCCACGTGTCAGCCCACATGATACATAAATTCATTTTTTTTGCCCTAGTAGTAATACTCAGAGATATATGGAACGCCAAGTTAACATATATTCAAATAATTGCACCTATCTTCAAATAGGTTGAATTCAATAAATTGAAGACAGGTAGGTACAATTAATCAAATACATGTTGATTTGGCGTTTCATAGAGATACAAAAGAATGAATACTTGATTTGTTGAAAGGATTATTTTTAATTCTGTTTTACGTTCACTAGCGATTTGATTATTACATCATTGCCTTTAAGTTGTCGTTACTGATTTATAATCAATCTGGAACCGTCGGCACTTTCCGTAAACGAGTATTTTCTCGTTTACGGTAAGTGCCGACGTTTCCCGATTTTATAATATGTTTTCAACGTCAGATATTTTGTTTGTGTCCTTTATCTCATTCCGTTCAAACTTCCCCATTTCATTTTTGAAATCTTTGTTACTTTATTAGAAGATGGTTCTCCTGACAGTTTCTTTATAATATATCATTAATGTTTTCAATGTCAGATTTTGTGAATGACTTTATTTCATTCTGTTTTAACTTCTCCATTTCTTTCATGAAATTGAATTGTGTCGTAGTAGCTTTGTTAATTTATAGACGCTTCTCCCGACATTTTCCTTTACTTAATATTGGCCTTGTAACTAGCGTTCACTCAACTTGTGTTGTACAATGCGTCATCGTTCAGTATATATATAAATCCGGACGAAACCTAAAGTAAGTGTCTGTATGTACACAGGTAGAATTATCGCAGAAAATCTCTGTCCGTGTATCTTTACAATGCCAACTTTGAGAACTTCATACAAAAGTAAGGAAAACTTAAGAATTTGTTACCCGAAGTAATTAATTAACCCGTTGAATGTGTGTGTAAATACTGCCACAATGCTTTCATACTAAATCTATTTCTTTTTAAATACATCATCGTATATGGAGTGTTCTATTTACTTTTTTCACTCTGACTTGTATATATGCGGTATCTATTGGAGAAGACTTACATAGGCTTGCCTGTTGTCCAATCCATGCGTTATTAAACAATACAATAATTTGAAATGAAATGAAAAAAAGTTTGTTTTTCAACAATTCCGTAGGTCATTGATGAGTGTGGTTATCCAGGTATATTTTGCCTCTTGGCGAATTTTCCCTAATGAAATTTTATCTGTACATCAAGCGTCTGGTATTGTTTGGTTTTCCTGTTTATCTTAACTTAGTCTGGACTGCCTTCTGTACTCGAATTATCACTTTTCACCGACTACAAGGTAGATATTTTATTGACATATTTTCATGCTTCATTTTACGATTCTAGACAATTCATCCGATGAAATATGAACAGACAATGAGATGGAGTTTATTTTTTATTCTCTGTTTAAATTAAAAACTAAATATGGGTATTCTCACAAACTCGTCATAGATTTTTAAATCATATTATGTATAATATCTGTGATTGTTCCGATTCAACGATTGAAGAAAGATAATAATAAAGTTCTGTTGATTACTCGGAGTAATTACTAACACAAGCCATGTTGCTGTGACAAATCGTTTCCACAATAAAGAGTCGAAAACAGTAAGTGAGAAAGGTAAGGCGTCTTCAAATATTAAATATAAACATTAATGTTTTTCGTGGTTGCTATGGAACCACGAATATAATTATAACGAATGTTGGTACCACGAAGCGGTCTAAAAGTTTGCTTCAAACCACGAAAGAAAAACCCCACGAATAGTTCATGTTTCACATAAGTTACCACAAATATCGATGAAGTTATAAAGAAATAAAATGTGCGGAAATTCGGATACTAAAATTGCTAATTGCGCAACACCAGAATTCTTAAATCAATGATATGATAACAAATCTTGCGAATACTTAAAATCATATTTTATTTATATTAGTGCATTAACAACATTGACACAAACGTATTGCAAACAAAATATTTACATATTATTGTTCAATTACAACATGTACAACACTAAAAAAAACACTATAACGCAGGCTGTTCCTGTGCGATCATCTTGGAATATTGAATATCTTATATCACGTGATGAAGTAGTTTACGGATACACACATGACGTCATCTTGGAAAATCTTTCATCACGTGGTACCTGGGTGAAGAAACAGTTTACAGATAAACACACGACGTCATCTTGGAAAATCTTCTATCACGTGGTACCTGGGCGAAGAAAAAGTTTACGTATAGACTATATGACATGTTTAGTTTTGTTAACCCTCTGTCAATATAACGCATACAAGTCTACATTCACTTTTAATTACCCATTATGAATTCCTTCTTTGCGTATTGCAGAGTTGTCTTCTCTTGAGAGAAGGTATTGATTGTTACGTCATTTGTTTGTGAGAGTAACGTCATATTTGTTTGATAAAACGACGTAATTTTCTCACACAAACCAATGACGTAACAATCAATACCTGCTCTCAAGAGAAGATAACTCTGCAATACACAAAGACGGAATAGGTGACCGAAGAAGAGTGAGTGTTATAGTTGGCTTTTGATAAAAGAGCCGTCTATCTAGTTAGGTCATGTAGTCTTTGGTTTAATGGCACGGTTCGTGATATACAAACTTTACTCATTAATTAATCTGAAATTAACCAGTACCGAAATTAATATATATATGGGGTGTGACACAACCTCCTCTTCTATTTAATAGCATTTTAGACCAGTTTGGATTTTCCATTTTTATTTTTTGCCCACTAGCATATCACCAATGAGTCCTCAATGATGAAACAGTTGTCTGGTGCGGTGAATTTCAATTTTGGCATACTGAATGTATTACCAGATTGTATAGGGGTAATGACATGTATATGTGTTCATTATTCATGTTAGAGTGTTACATCTTGCATTTAATGATTATGTTCTGTATAATATATTGTTCACGCTTTTCTAGTCGTTGTTAGGAACACTAATTCGATCTTCAGGGTTTCAAGATCCTTGTCTGGGGAGTTATAGTAGCTTTCAAGATTCTTGTCTGATGTGTTATATGGAAGGTTACAAGATCTTTATCTGAGGTGTTATAGTAGCTTACAAGATCCTTGCCTGGGGTATTATTGTAGCTTACAAGATCTTTGTCTGAGGTGTTATACTAGCTTATTAGATCTTTGTCTGGGGTGTTATTGTAGCTTACATGATCCTTGTCTGAGGTGTTATAGTAGCCTACAAGATCCCTGTCTGAGGTGGTATAAAAGCTTACAAGATCCTTGTCTGGGGTGTTATAATAGCTTTTGAAATCCCTGTCTGAGGTGTTATAAAACTTTCAAGGTCCTTGTCTGAGGTGTCATAATAGCTTACAAAATCCTTGTCTGAAGTGTAATAATAGCTTACAAGTTCCCTGTCTGAGGTGTTATAGTAGCTTACAAGATCTTTGTCTGAGGTGTCATAATAGCTTACAAAATCCTTGTCTGAAGTGTAATAATATCTTACAAGTTCCTTGTCTGAGGTGTTATAATAGCTGACAAGATCTTTGTCTGAGGTGTTATAGTAGCTTACAAGATCCTTGTCTGAGGTGGTATAATTGCTTACAAGATCCTTGTCTGAGGTGTTATAATAACTTACAAGATCTTTGTCCGGGGTGTTATAGTAGCTTACAAGATCCTTGTCTGAGGTGGTGTAATAGCTTACAAGATCCTTGTCTGAGGTGTTATAATAGCTTACAAGATCTTTGTCTGAGGTGTTATAGTAGCTTACAAGATCCTTGTCTGAGGTGGTATAATTGCTTAAAAGATCCTTGTCTGAGGTGGTATAATAGCTGACAAGATCCTTGTCTGAGGTGTTAGAGTAGCTGACAAGATCCTTGTCTGTGGTGTTATGGTAGCTTACAAGATCCTTGTCTGAGGTGTAATAATATCTTACCAGATCTTTGTCTGAGGTGTTATAGTAGCTTACAAGATCCTTGTCTGAAGTGGTGTAATAGCTTACAAGATCCTTGTCTGAGGTGTTATAATAGCTTACAAGATCCTTGTCTCAGGTGTTATAATAGCTTACAAGATCCTTGTCTGAGGTGCAATAATATCTTACAAGATCCTTATCTGAGGTGTTATGGTAGCTTACAAGATCCTTGTCTGAGGTGTTATGGTAGTTTACCAGATCTTTGTCTGAGGTGTTATGGTAGCTTACAAGATCCTTGTCTGAGGCGTTATGGTAGCTTACAAGATCCTTGTCTGAGGTATTATTGAAGCTTACAAGATCCTTGTCTGAGGTGGTATAATTGCTTACAAGATCCTTGTCTGAGGTGTAATAATAGCGTACAAGATCCTTGTCTGAGGTGTTATGGTAGCTTACAAGATCCTTGTCTGAGGTGTTATAATTGCTTACAAGATCCTTGTCTGAGGTGTAATAATATCTTACCAAATCTTTGTCTGAGGTGTTATGGTACCTTACAAGATCCTTGTCTGAGGTGTTATGGTAGCTTACAAGATCCTTGTCTGAGGTATTATTGTAGCTTACAAGATCCTTGTCTGAGGTGGTATAATTGCTTACAAGATCCTTGTCTGAGGTGTAATAATATATTACCAGATCTTTGTCTGAGGTATTATTGTAGCTTACAAGATCCTTGTCTGAGGTGTAATAATATCTTACAAGATCCTTGTCTGAGGTGGTATAATTGCTTACAAGATCATTGTCTGAGGTGTAATAATATCTTACCAGATCTTTGTCTGAGGTATTATTGTAGCTTACAAGATCTTTGTCTGAGGTGGTGTAATAGCTTACAAGATCCTTGTCTGAGGTGATATAATAGCTTACAAGATCCTTGTCTCAGGTGTTATAATAGCTTACAAGATCCTTGTCTCAGGTGTTATAATAGCTTACAAGATCTTTGTCTGAGTTGTTATAGCAGCTTACAAGATCCTTGTCTGAGGTAGTAGCTTTCAAGATTCTTGTCTGATGTGTTATATGGAAGGTTACAAGATCTTTATCTGAGGTGTTATAGTAGCTTACAAGATCCTTGTCTGGGGTGGTGTAATAGCTTACAAGATCCTTGTCTGGGGTGTTATAGTAGCTTACAAGATCCTTGTCTGAGGAGTTATGGTAGCTTACAAGATCCTTGTCTGAGGCGTTATAATAGCTTACAAGATCTTTGTCTGAGGTTGTGTAATAGCTTACAAGATCCTTGTCTGGGGTGTTATAGTAGCTTACAAGATCCTTGTCTGGGGTGTTATGGTAGTTTACAAGATCCTTGTCTGAGGTGTAATAATACCTTACAAGATCTTTGTCTGAGGTGTCATAATAGCTTACAAAATCCTTGTCTGAAGTGTAATAATAGCTTACAAGTTCCCTGTCTGAGGTGTTATAGTAGCTTACAAGATCCTTGTCTGAGGGGGTATAATTGCTTACAAGATCCTTGTCTGAGGTGCTATGGTAGCTTACAAGATCCTTGTCTGAAGTGGTGTAATAGCTTACAAGATCCTTGTCTGGGGTGTTATAAGATCCTTGTCTCAGGTGTTATAATAGCTTACAAGATCCTTGTCTTAAGTGGTGTAATAGCTTTCAAGATCCTTGTCTGAGGTGTTATAATAGCTTACGAGATCCTTGTCTGGGGTGTTATGGTAGCTTACAAGATCCTTAATATCTTACAAGATCCTTGTCTGAGGTGGTGTAATAGCTTACAAGATCCTTGTCTGGGGTGTTATGGGAGCTTACAAGATCCTTGTCTGAGGGGGTATAATTGCTTACAAGATCCTTGTCTGAGGTGTAATAATTCCTTACAAGATCTTTGTCTGAGGTGTCATAATAGCTTACAAAATCCTTGTCTGAAGTGTAATAATAGCTTACAAGTTCCCTGTCTGAGGTGTTATAGTAGCTTACAAGATCCTTGTCTGGGGTGGTGTAATAGCTTACAAGATCCTTGTCTGATGTGTTATAATAGCTTACAAGATCTTTGTCTGAGGTTGTGTAATAGCTTACAAGATCCTTGTCTGAAGTGGTGTAATAGCTTACAAGATCCTTGTCTGGGGTGTTATGGGAGCTTACAAGATCCTTGTCTGAGGGGTAATAATATCTTACCAGATCTTTGTCTGAGGTATTATGGTAGTTTACAAGATCCTTGTCTGAGGAGTTATAATAGCTTACAAGATCTTTGTCTGAGTTGTTATAGCAGCTTACAAGATCCTTGTCTGAGGTGTTCTGGTAGCTTACAAGATCCTTGTCTGAAGTTGTGTAATAGCTTACAAGATCCTTGTCTGATGTGTTATAATAGCTTACAAGATCTTTGTCTGAGTTGTTATAGCAGCTTACAAGATCCTTGTCTGAGGTGATATAATAGCTTACAAGATCCTTGTCTCAGGTGTTATAATAGCTTACAAGATCTTTGTCTGAGTTGTTATAGCAGCTTACAAGATCCTTGTCTGAGGTGCTATGGTAGCTTACAAGATCCTTGTCTGAAGCGGTGTAATAGCTTACAAGATCCTTGTCTGATGTGTTATAATAGCTTACAAGATCTTTGTCTGAGTTGTTATAGCAGCTTACAAGATCCTTGTCTGAGGTGATATAATAGCTTACAAGATCCTTGTCTGAAGTGGTGTAATAGCTTACAAGATCCTTGTCTGGGGTGGTGTAATAGCTTACAAGATCCTTGTCTGGGGTGTTATAGTAGCTTACAAGATCCTTGTCTGGGGTGGTGTAATAGCTTACAAGATCCTTGTCTGGGGTGGTGTAATAGCTTACAAGATCCTTGTCTGGGGTGTTATGGTAGCTTACAAGATCCTTGTCTGAGGTGTTATAGTAGATTACAAATTACAGTCTTCAAAAATTTCATGTACAATATTCACATTTTATAACCTTACATAGTATATGTGAATTATAAGTTCTTTTAAAATATCAGCTTTATTAAGGTCTCATACCTTAAACAATATGTACCTACATTTTTGTTTATTTCGGTTTATCAAACCCTGAAAATCAAATATTGGACTGTTGATCTTGGGGACTGAAATTTACGGTCTACATTTTTGCTTTGATTACCAAAATTAATATCATGTATTGTTTAATTCACAGATTCACCTGACTTCAAAATATTTGCTGTATTCAGTAATGTTGTGTAAATATAAAATAACTGTAAATATTTTCAGAAATAATTTACACTGATATTCAAAACATCAGTCAACAACATGAATTAAAACCATATCTTATCATTTTCAACGAGAATTAAGAATGTTGAGCTTCAGGATTTCAAAACGAAATTATCAGCGGCGAAAACTAACTATGAATTGATTGATCTTGCCAATGCATTCATGTAGCTATGAACCTATTGATTTTGCAGTAATGTAACTATGCACGGTCTCATTATGCAGTCACGTACCTGTGATCATCCTCGATATCCAGGGGTTATGCTCACTTTCACTTTCTTCACCCCTGGAGAAAAATTGAAGGCACTAAGATAGCTGTTTGATTGGCCTCAGGTAAAATAAACTGACCAATCGCTCGGCTGATACCTGCATGTCCTTTGACGATTACAAAGGAGAGACGCCCGACTTATTAGCCTGTCAATTTATTCCAGGGGTGCAGAGAGCGAAAGTGAGCGTTACACCTGGATATCAAGGATGACCTGTGATCGACATATAATGGAACGCAAATGTGAATCAAAGATGCCAAGAGTAATTCATGGTAAAGTGACTGGTGAGGGGACTTTTTCAAACAGTGGTTCATAATGTGATTTATATGTTATATTATACAGCCATAACTAGTTCCAAGATGGTGCATTAATTGAGGACCACAATTTTTTAGATAACATGGTGTAGTCTATTAAATTATGATCAATATTATTTTTCTCCGAGGACAAAGCCAGTTTTTTTCTTTTCTCAAAGAGACCTGTCCTGCATATTGCTGACGAATTAGACTGTGACACAGTTAACCCTTTCACCCCTATGTAACTTTAGTAGACTCTACCATACATTGATGTGGATGAGTCCATTATGGTCTACAGTGGTGAAAGGGTTAAGATATAGGTAAGACTAAAAGGTGTCGCTTTTCTCTTTTTGTAATAGCATATCCATCTCAGATGTACATTTTTAATGGAAAATACCATGCCATCTTCACAATATTGAGAAATGATGTAAATTTTATAACATATAGCTTTAACAGGTACCTTGTTTTCACTACATTGATCAACAGCCTTTTACACTATTGCTCCTCTGCTAGCAATGAGGGCCTTACCCTGCATTCAGTTAACAATATCAAAACCCTGAATACCCCATGCTAAATGAAGTTCATTCGACCAAAGTTAACCCTTTCACCCCTATGTAACTTTAGTAGACTCTACCATGCATTGATCTGGATGAGTCCGTTATGGTCTACAGTGGTGAAAGGGTTAAACAGTAGTCTACCAGATACTCACACCAACCTCATTTCCCATCAACACCACACCCCATAACTCCCCTTGGGAAGGGTGGTCATATTTTTCAGTTATACAACAGTGCGTTCCCGTAACCAGGGATGATCTATGTCAAATTTAGTCTAAATCACTTCATCTATTCTTGGCAAGTAGTCTTTTAAACACCAGGATATTTGATGCTGTCATTTAAGGTTTATAACGTGAATTTATGATGATATCACACGTTACTTCTGATGTATCATGTCATAGCAAAATTGAAGGCACAAAGATAGATGTTTGATTGGTCTCAGGTAAAAAATGACCTGACCAATCGCTAGGCTGAAACCTGTCCATTGAAGATTACAAAGGAGCAACACTCGACTTCAAAGCCTTTCATTTTTTACTGTCAGTGACCGCAAGATTCTTTTGATGTACATCAAAGGATCGAACTAGTCTTCTTATCTCATCAACAAGGTGGCGCACACTGAACCCTCAATTTTGCTATGACATATTCCAGGGGTGCAGAGAGCGAAAGTGAGCGAAACCCCTGGATATCGAAGATGCTTCTGACGCCACATTGAGTGCTTGTAAAACGTTGTATGATATAATGACAAGTGGTGTATTAATTCACTGAGTAATTCATTGTATTCAAATCAAGTGTATCTCTTAACCCTGTGATTTTGAGAACATGGAGGGAGTGAAAATCAACTTCACACACCAACAGTGGAGAGCTATAACAAGTGGAGACAACTCTGTATCAAACAATGGTGATGGTAACAGATACAGCCGTAAAGACCTCACCTAGATGTCCTCCAATATGGGATCCACTTCTGTATCTATATTATCTACAAACAATACATGTCAATATGAAACTTTTTAAAAGCCTTTTGTAATCTTTCACTATACGAAATGCAGATGTCAGATTACCCAATTTTGATTTTTTTTCTTTCCAAATAGACGTATTACCATATATATCACAACTGTAAACCACATTTATTTTGTAGTGAACATAATTTAATTTCATATTAATTCAAGAACAGAGTCACTAATAAATTAAAATAACACAAATAGGATCTGTTTTTGTTCATACTGAAAATAAATACCCTTGCAAAGCAATCGTAAAAAATAAGTGGTTTACAGTATCACAATTCAAGGGAAATTTAACAGAACAAGAAATTCTGAAAATTGAATAAAGACATTTTATTACCAATCTCATATTTAACATAAAAAATTGAATGACATAGATTAAACATATACTCTATATCTTCCATTAATTTAAAAACTTTTTCAATATAAACATTAATGATATAAATTTGCTTCGTGTATAGAACTGATTCTAGATCTTGAATAAATATTCTTTTTTTAAATATTGACAACATTTTTTTTAAGAAAACAAAATTAAGAAAAAAAAAAGAAAATTTCTTAACAGAACTTGTTTTTTACAATTAGCACAGCTACTCTCTAATACATAAAATCACTGATTATATATTATCTAAGCGTCAAATCACTATCTTCTAAAATTTCCTCTGAGGAAAATAAGTGAAGAAAATATCACAGCAGTTAGATTTTTTTATAAAAATGTTGAAATTGATTTCATAAACTGAATAATAAATTGCTGAGGATTTTTACTGAAAGATTCTTACTGGTAAAAATACCTGTTTGACAGATCTACTTCGATAGATCTCCAAAATATAGTTTCAGAAATTCAAACAACTTTACAGTCAATTATAAACAAATTATTAATATACTTTTTTACGTACATTCAAGACAAGTATTTTCCCTTTAAATGTCCAGACATTTTAACTTGTAAAACACTTATCATAATTTATCACGACACCACATAAATACATATTTTCGAACGTAACGGTAAAATTCTGACATTGACCTTGTAGGTGTGTGCTCACACATACAGCAGCTTAGTGTAAACAGGAATGTACTTCCATAAAAAAATGTACTTGATTTAACTTCCCAGATGGACGGCTGACTAATCGAGATATCACAGTTAAGTGTATACAAAACGTACGTATATGGCAACACAGAATGATAATCTCTATGAATCTGAACTATAAACTTTACAGTTCTACTGTAGAGACAAAATAGAGAGAAACAAAATACCAAGGTTTACGTTTTTATAACAACAGTAATGGTGAAAAAGTGTCCCGGGAACTTTTGTTAAATTGCTAAAAATGTTAACGAAATTTGTGAACCTTAAATCGATACATTAATTTAATATTTTGTTTTTTTGTATACTGATGGATTCTCACGCTGAAATTCTATAGTGTGTTACACCGTACTAATAAATTAAAAAAAAATAAAAAATTGTGAAAAGGTGACCTGCTATATTTCTTTTTATTGAAAAAGAAACATTTTGCACAATAAATCATTAACAGTAAGATTTTTTGGTTAAATCAGAATAAGTTTTAGAATATGATTATGTAGATCATTTCTGTCATATTTTCCTTTTTCTATCTATAGCACAAATATAATGGCAGCACTAAATTTTAAGTCCGGAATTATTCCATTTTTTTGGATTTTCACCGAGGTCAAATTAACCTATTAAGTTTTTTGAGAAAATTAATTTTGAAATTTAAGATTGAAATTGAAGTGCCAAGTGAAATGGTTCATACTTAATAGGTATCATTCTTTTCAAAAATGGAAAGTCTATCTCTCTTAAAAATGTTCTCCACTCTTCTGTTTTAACACACCGCTATTAATAAATGTGTTTTGTGTGTCTCCTGTAGTGCTAGGTACACAGGTATTTACACTCCGGGAGGGAACACAGGAGGCTCTATAGAGCGGGGAGGGGGCCAGTAAATGGGGGTTGCACAGGGCGAGTCCCTTCTTGGTTCCATAGTTCCCATGACGGCTGCGTTGGTCTGAAAGCCGGGTGTGAGCACCCTTTTTGGGGTGAAGAGTCGGCCTGTCGTTGGGGAGGTGAGGCGGGGGGCAGCGGATTGTGCACGGGACCCAGGCTTGGGCCAATTGATGCTTGGCGTACCTGGTTTGGGAGAGTAGACAATGTCTTTGGGACTGACTGATACTGGTTCTGGACAAATGGCCCCAGATCGTGGCGAACCATGTTTACCTGTGGGTGCCAGAAGGGTTGGGACAACTGCTGCGTCAGCCTTCTCGTCAATTTTCACTGGCAGTGCATCAGGAATCTACAAAAATAAAACAGTGATTTAATTATGTCATGCAAACAAATTGTTGATGATTTGTTCAGGGTTTTTTTGCAATTTTATTTTGTAATTCACAATGGCACTGAAGGGAGATAACTCAACTATTTAAGGAAAATTCTGGAAATGTTTTTTTTAATATTTTCATTCATAAGATGAAGTTACCTCCCCTTTAACTTCTGTTTGGATATAACTGTAGCACATATATTACAAATCCATTGACCTGAGGCAGCTCAATTTGTAACAGCAGTAGTACCATTACAATCTGAAGTCTAGGGTTTGTATCCCGGTCTAGCCCCATTGATTTATTTTACACTCAGATCACTCAAGATTGTTCAAGATTATATTTTGTTTATTTCATTTTTATTACTTTTCATAAAAGTCCTGCAAGTTTTCTTTTTTCAGAAACAGCTTGTCAAGGCTAAAGACATGCTGGAAAAAAAGTATAAAATATTTCCAACATTCATTACAGTTTTTGACAGAGGCACAAGCATCCTTAAAAGTCCACTTGTTTTATTATTATTTGATGATAGGTTGTACTAATTTTTTTTCACGACTGCTCAAGTTATTTTTTGGAACATTGCCTGAAGGGAGATAATTCAACTTACATACCCTATGGGAAAAGCTTTTCTTTAAAAGTCAGCTTTTTTATATATGTCATTATTTTTTTTATTATTTTTTTATATTTTTTTTTATATTTTGACATTTTTTTAACATTCTTATTATTATTACATCAATTTGGATACCGAGGCAGAAAAACAATTATTTTCTTTAAAAGTTTGAAACAAGATACATAGAATAATATTATATGCATATTATTATTACACAACTCAATGCTTCTAAAACATCACCATCATATTTCATAGGCTTCATTCATTTTGTCAGTATTTCAAGACCATTTATCTCATTGTGAATATTTCTCTAAATACGTACCTTCTCCAATGACCCCCCCCCCCCCCCCCCCCCCAGGTGGCAACAACAAACACCCATAGGCTGTACACAATGCACCGCCTGCACCAGTGATGCCATTTAATTATCAAATTCACATTTACACAAAAACTTCCATCGTCCAGGTCAGTTACTATCAGAATCAATGTACATAGTATGTATCAGAAAATTAAATGAAAAATTAAACCGTCCGTCCTGACCAGTGCGTTGCCCTGAACTGACTTGCCAGCTCACCAGCTGCATGTGCATATCATGCCAATACAGGTGTGCCACCTACTGGGCGAACCATTTGAGAAAACTATTTTGCTCTCATTCCTTGTGACTAAGTCAACCGTGCGAAATATGATATATTTTGGTATTAATTTAAAATGCCATAAAAAAACTTACAGACTCATATCTAACAATGTTCCCACCATTACCTTGCATTTCTTCAGTTTTCCTTTCAGAATGATTTCTCCGTCTGTTTTGCATCTATCCAGTCTTTGTACAGCATCAAACGTCCTTGCTGTTTGGTTTGACATGTTGTTTCCTGGTAAAATACATTTATTTCAGTACAAATGTAAGGCCAAAAAAAAAAAGATGTCTGTTTAGGGTTCCCGACTGACCCTAGCTTTTTACCCCCGACCCAAAACTTTTTGATGATTCTTCGACCCAAAACTTTTTGATGATTTTTTTTTTTTTTTTTAAAAACCTGCTGGTTTTCAAATTTTAGAAGGTTCCTTGCCTTTCAAAATGGCTTCCAGCTCTGTGTTGGCGCTAAATGTCATCATATGGATCACAATTTGCCTCCAAATGAACCTTGTTTATGTATTTTTTTTATTTTACATACAATAGTAGGGTCATAATCACATGACCACAAGGTACATAAAAATATATAAAAAAAACAATCTGACCTACCTATCCTTGTTTTTTTGCCCATGCAACCTTAAGCAGACTATATTTTTTTTTTTGCTTATATGACAAACAGAATGTTTATCAAATCAAACCAAAAATAAAATAAAAAGAAATGAATAAATAATAGTTTTAATTAAAGAACAAAGCAGATTTAGGTCAATATGTTAATTAAAATATATTCATAATTAATTACTTGTCTGAATCTGGGCATAATTAAAAATCAGAATAAAATGCAGAAAGGAACTTGCATCCTCCTTAGGTTCATGAAAAACAAAATATCTTCAAATATTTTACAATGGTAACCCTACCTACGCTAATTGTTTGTGCCTACCCTAAACTTTATAAAGCAATTTTCAAAGAAGTACTGTTAAAGTCAGGACCACTCTCCTTAATAAACTACACACAATGATTTTTAAAAATAAAACATGTTACCTATACAACTTAATTGTTACAGGAAACACATATTTTTTTTGTCTAGTCCAACATGAAACAAGTTATAAACTTAGATAAATCACTCCTGCTGGCCTGGCTGCATGGGTTCAGACTATGTGAATAAACCAGAGACCAGAGTACCTGGAGAAAACCTGTGACATGGTCGGCCATTTTACCCGATACCTTTCATGCCTGATCAAGGTATTATTCAACTCCTGGATGTCTTTAAGAAAGAATAGAGCACTAATCACAACCTCTGTCAATTGGACGAACTTTGTTTCTGTCAATAATGCCTTCTCAGATTAATGAAACCACATATTCACCTCAACACAAGTCCATAAGGCCAAAGAAAAATAATAGTCTGTTAAGGGTTGCATGGGCAAAAAAACAAGGGTAGGTAGGTCAGATTTTTTAAATTTTTGTTTTGTATATTTTTGTGTACCGTGTGGTCATGTGATTATGACCCTACTATTGTATGCAAAACAAAGAATTACATAAACAAGGTTCATTTGGAGGCAAATTGTGCTCCATATGCTGACATTTAGCGCCAACACGGAGCTAGAAGCCATTTTGAAAGGCAATGAACCTTCTAAAATTCGAAAATCAATGTTTTTTTATTTATTTTTTGAAATTTTTTGAAATTGCTTTTTTTCATCAAAAAGTTTTGGGTCGGGGGTAAAAAGCTAGGGTCGGTCGGGAACCCTGAACAGACATGTTTACTTTTTTGGCCTAAGTGATAATTACTGTACCTGGTATCTTTAGGGGTAAGTCCCAGGTACCAACAAATGTTCCCCATGGGGATTCCCTTGACCTCTTGACCCCGGGGAGAAGGTGACCTCTATCATTTGCCTTGATCTGTGTGAAACCTGTGTATGCACTTGGTCTCTGAAACAGAAAAGCACAATTTGGTAAAAAAATCTGGTACCCAAAAAAATCAATTATTTTCTGTTTTTTGATCAACTGCATGGTCCTATTCCGTCTTTTTGTATTGCAGAGTTATCTGCTCTTGTGAGCAAGTTTTGATTGTTACATCATTTGTTTGTGAGAGTAACGTCATCAATTTTTGAGAAAACGATGAATTTTCTCACACAAACTAATGACGTCACTATCAATACCTTCAGCTCACAAGAGCAGGTAACTCTGCAATATGCAAAGACGGAATAAAAAGATACACAAATCTTAGCGTGTTTCCTGCCTGACTATACTGTTTTCCTGTTGACTAGAACCAAATTTAAAAAATATATACATGTATAAAAAAAGATTTCTTTTTATAAAAAAATAAAAAAATATCATATGTACAAATAACAACCAGTAATTGTACCAAATCTCAAATAAAGATAAAGAGTGGTTGTGATTGATGCCAAGGTTACCAAATGTTTTAATTTTTTTTGCTAAAATGTTGGTAAATTGTAAAAAAAAAGAGGAAATTCTACAACAGGTTTTAGAATGATGGAACCTCAAACATGTCCGGCAAGTGGATTTTTACATCCCCGAAACACAAACTCATTTTATTCTGAACAAACAATCTGCAAAGTCTGTCAATAAAAACTCCATGGCACTGTCTAAAATCAAAGCCAATTTCACTAGTCAAGGCAGTGACATTTGAACTTATAGAAGTTAATTGGAGACCTAGAATAGGTAGCTATGTAAGTAAAAGATCGGAAAAACTGTCATTATTATCTTTTATATAGAATATCATTTTAAAGAAGAAATCTGTTTTTCCTGAGAGGAATTACAATTTTGAAAGAGAATTGTAATACAATTCCATAAGTTTGGCCTCAAACAGAGGCCCAGTAATACCCTGAGTGAGAAATTGATTACAGTGTGTTCATATAAATACATTTTTTGGTAAAAATATGTACCTACCAGGTATATATATATTTGCTGTTGAATTACTTTTAAAGACATGTTATTAAATTTATTATGACTTCAGATTTTCTGAATTATTCAATCAAAAATTCAATTTTAATTTCACCTTAAAAAATTGCAAACCTTCCAATGCCAAATTCTATTTATAGTAATAATTAATGTACATCATATTGATATTTGGTGTAGCTTAACTCACCCAAGGTATTTTTCATTGTATTGCTACTAATAGTTATATACAAAAATTTGAAAAGAGGCTCAAACGTGAAATTTTATGAAAAGGGTTAAGTAATCAACTACCAGCAATATTATTAGATGTAAATATATAGATAATTATTTCTCTCTAAACCTGAGGTTTGATTTGCAGCAAATAGAGGGGGTGCTTTGTTTGGTATAAATACATGCATGACAAAAGACATAACAGATTTAACATAGCCCATTATAAAACATGAATGAATTGTACATTTAAATTTAGGTTATATCAACAATGGTAGATTCTTACTTCATGTACCATTTAAAAAAGAAATGTTATTTTTTTTCTGTTCAACAGATATCTAATGATAAAATTTTACTATAGTTCTTAGTAGGTCAAGTTTAAATGGTTCTGTTTCGTGTAACTAAGCAACCGTCAGACATTTAAAACTACAATAATTTTAAAACCGAGGCTTTCACTCCCCCCACCCCCCCCCCCCCCCCCCCCNTAACAAAAGGTTGAGAATAAATTTATGTTTATAATAAATAATAAAAAAAAAACTGAAAGAAAAAAAGAAGGGGCAGTGCATCTTTTGAAAATCAGAGCTAATTGAACCATCCTATTTTTATTATTAATTATAATCTGATTGTTTGTTTATATCAACCAACTTCACATTTATATTTATAAAACAAGAATTTTACATATATATATAAAGAAAAATTTGATAAATGCACATGGTTTAGTATCAAACAAAATCAAAGTACTTAACAATAAAGATGTCTATATTCAATAAAGAAACAACATTGGTCAATTTTAAAAGAAAATTCAAATGTAACACTGCTTTCAAAGTTTACAATTTGAACAAAAATTTAAGATTTGAGTTTACAAAGTTTACAAATTGGACAGTTCAAATTTACTTACCACACATTTATCACGTTTACCTAAATACTGTTGAAAGCTTGTCATATTTGAAGTCTATTAATTCATGAAATGTGAAGTGTACACAACAGTCCTGGGATAAACACACATTTACCAACAGTGTGTATCACTGAACACGGTGACCACCCCCTCTACAAATGACTTAAGCTGGTGGACAATAAGATTGACTGTACCATTATGGAAAATAGGGGGGGAAAGGGGTTGAGGTGTCAGAACAGACTGTGTATTATATCTACAGGCCTCCCATTTATTCTAACACAATACACATGCATTGGCTGGTTTCAAGTTTCAGAAAAGCTAACATGTATAGTCACAGTTCAAAAAGGAAAAGGGCAATCCTTAGCTGTCTATATTGTGACCACTTCAATATACATATGCATGATATATTATTTCATATTTTGTTTTAGAAATTCATTGTTACTTTGTCACATACTATTAACAAATTTAACACACTCTAATTTACAATATAAATCTAGGAATGTTTTCCCCAAATCCTTCAGTTTGTATGTGTTCCATCAGGCCTACAGTATCTCTGCAGTAACAAATAGATTATCACAAATGTGTGCTCGCCAAGTGGGGTTGTGTCAAGAATTTGTTTGCATCCAAATAGTATGTTAAATTGTTAACATGCAGACATATCATACACAGGGCAGGGGTCGACACTAACACTAGTCCGCTAGTCCTGGACTAGAAGATTTCAGCAAGGACTAGTGAATCACCTAACCTATCTGGTCCTTTAGACTTGTGAAAAATATGACTATAAAATATGAATATTACTTTTTTTTTTTTAGAAAACTGCTTAAATTATAAAATTTCGCATGATAATTGTCAAAATTTTCCTAAAACATCACCATATTTTTATGGCAGTAGTTATTTTTAGTCCCCTACAGTCAATTCTTTTTGACCTTTCATGCTTTAGTTCACGATGCTTCCTGATCAGGAAATTTTGGACTAGTAACATAAATGGAAGACTAGTAAATGTCTTAACCCTTTCATTAAGCTGTAGACCATAATGGACTCATCCAGATCAATGCATGGTAGAGTCTACTAAAGTTACATAGGGGTGAAAGGGTTAATGATCTATTCAACTTAGTCCTGTGGACTACCAAGCAAAACAAATTTAGTGTCTGTAACCCTGCAGGGGAATGCAATTAATGTTCATTCATTTTGTTTGCAAAACATCAGTCATTGGATACTGACTGATGTTCTGTAATCAAATTAAAACAATAATTCGTAATTGCCTAGCACAGTGAACATAAAGTTATACAACTGTGCTTATAGTAATATAGCTGCGATAACATAGCTTTCTGACGAGAGTTTTTTTTATATATTGCGTGGCAGGGAAGGCCGGGTATTAATTAGTATTATATTAGTACTTATATATAAATAGTAATATACTTACCTCTCTGTATTGTGCTGGGACTTCCCAGTTCTGTAAAAGTTTTGGGTCGAATGACTTGTTGTACTGTAAACAGAAACAATGAAAAATCAATGCCTATTGTAAATAAGCCTGGAGGTACAGTATTGCTTATAAACAAAAAAAAAACCCAATTTAAACATTTATTTTAAGGAAGTTTTTGGCTCAATCAAATGAGCATCAACTGCAATTATAATTACTTTAAGAACACACAATTACACTTAGGAGACAGCGATGCTCATGAGTTTTAGTAATTTTAAACTATTGCAAATGAATTTGAGATTATCATAATGTATTTTGTACTGGTTAGCCCATCCTTTTGTAGGCCTGCAATTAATCAATAATAAATAATTTAATTTCAACACTGCAGCTCCTTTATTCCCCCAACAATAATCTTACATTAAAGGCTAATCATAAACAATTCTCCTTTTGTATGTAATGGCATTCATCACAATGTTTTCAATGTGTCAACTGTGTGATATCCGACACGTCAAGTCAGGTTTTTTATCGGCTGCTGGCGGCTGCTATGGTGAAACCCCACACGCACGTCAAGCATGCGGTATTTAATAATACAATGGGTTCATTTTATTGCATTTTCTTACCTGGTTTGCACTAAAATGGAGAGCCATCTTGGTTTAAAAGAATGGGTCCTTTGTTACATCCAATCGTACCCCCCGTGAAATACTTTCCACTCAGATAATCGCCATAACACTGTGCCGTTGCTAAGGGAAGTGATTAGCTAAAAATAATTTGTTTCGAATAAATCTTAAAATCTGCCAAACTTCAGCGATTGAATATGGCAATTTTTAAAAACATGAAATCACATTTATGTTTTGAAAATTAAAAATAATTGTAAAATAAAAAGAATAATTTGCTTCAGCACTACCGGAAGTTGTATGTTGATTTCGTTTCCGGTTTTGAGTGTCACACGCGAAACAATTCTTTTCGCCGGCAATTTACACATTTTTTATGACAAAATGACTCTCTTCCATTTCGGAAACTGCGTAGCTTTAGCGTATGTCCCATACGTTATTGTCTACAAATGCTCGGGATTGTAAGTATGTGCACCAAGTGACAAATAGACTTGCCCAAAAATTTTAAGGGCGGGGGGTGGGGGGGGTATTCCTGTTATTTTAGTATGCATACGCTTCATGATGGGTTACCTTTGTTGTACTAATTGCTGAATCGTAATTGGGAAGGGATGGCATTGTATCGAATTTGGCAGTTTTTTTTTAATTTATTCATTAATCCTCATAACGTGATTTTAGGAATTTAGGGGTGGAGAGAGATTGGCTGAATTTGTCGACACATTTAAAAATATTAGCTGCACAAATGTTTGTTCCATTTTTTTTTATATTGATCACTTTCTATAATGTTGATTACGTATTAAATAGATTGAATGTGAATACATCATTGACTTAAATAAGCAGGTCCAGTACACTCTGCCGATTGAGCTATATAGCTGTTAAGACCTATAATAGCTCTATTGACCTATCTGAAATAGGTCTTTCATAATATAAGTATTCTTTAAAAAGGAAAATAATGATGTAAAGAAATCGGAAATTTTACATTTTATGAAAAATGAAAATAAACATCTAAATGTATGCTTTTTGTAGTCAACATTACCCTTAACCTTATTGTTTTATGCGACTTTGCTTTAATTTAATGAAATTTGAAATCTGAGAAAATATAGCTCAATACAGCTATAATTTATAGGGGTATATCGCTATATAGGTCTTTATATCTATATATAGCTCAATCAGCAGAGTGTACTGGACCTAATAAGACCAGACATCAGGTTTTGGGCCAGGAATCAAACTATGTACTTATCAGGTTGGGGAAAACCACAACTTGCGTATAATACGCCAGTTGGAGTATGGATTTGTTACTAAAAATAGCCCAAATCGCTTAAACAGTAACTTTTGCAAGATATTATTAAAAATCGCATTAATTTATGATAAGGTAACTAATATTTTGCTTAAAGATGTTTACTAAAAGCGTTGGCTGCTTAGAAACTTGATGTAACTTTATCGGAAGTATTGTATCTGTTTTGGGTACTTTCCCACTTGCAAATAAAGTTTATTTTTGCATTTGTATTATGTTTCATGACTGAATAAATGCGACTTGGACAAACAATTTCAAAAAGTTAAGATTAAAGTGTTTTTGGCTATTTTTAGTAACAAATCCATACTCCTATTGGCGTATAATAGGCCAGTTTGCGTATTATATGCAAGTTAGTGGTTTTCCCCGACCTGCTAATTATGTCCTATCAAATTTAGCTGGTCGGGTGTTTCTGAATCATTTATAAGTCATGATCAGTATGACGACAGTTTATAAATATCAGTGTTGTGAATTATGCAAAATCAAAATTCCAAGGAAAATGTGTCTTCATGGTGTATACAGCTAGAGGATGGGTTATGTACGAAATTAAGTGTTTATAAGCCGTATCATTTCAGTTGCAAGGTGTTCATTTCCATTCCTTTTGAGCTCACTTTATGATGGTATTTAGTATAACCAAGGTAGCGGTATAATGGTAAAGGTGGTTTTTTTTAAACAGGAAATCCATTCTGAAACACATTATAAAAGTCCAACAAGCTAAAAATAATAATAATCTTTCTGACACGGAAATAAAGGAACACGTGTATGACATCTTGTAATGCAGTTTTTTGTTCAAAGAACTGGTACTTTCGAATCTCAGGATAAATTTGTGTGAAAGGATTAGAAATGGAAAAAAAAGGCAATAAATATGATCTGCCAGAGGTTTATCATAGTCAAATGCAATGGAAAATTATTTGTCTAATTTTCCAAAGAGATGTCATAAAGACTAATTGTTTGTTAACTCATTCACCCCTGAAGACACATTTGAACCCTTCCAATTCAAAGGTTGGAATTGTTCATTATGAAATTTCAGGGGTGAATGAGTTAATGAGCCATTTATGGACAATGTATTGTATTCTAAAATGACCCCCCAAAACAAAGGAAATTAATGATTTGTCAAAAGGCACGTTTCCTAGATCAATTCTTGGTAATGTATTCTGGGCATTTCCGCATAATCAAAGATGATGTTTGACTGTAACCATCTTAATTTCCTTTTACAACATCCTAATATTGATGTTCTGTAACATAATGATCTAACATCTATAGTGTCTATTGGATTTGCATTCAAGTCATTAATTTGTTAGAGCTATTTACAGTACAATAGAATCTTACATGGGTCTGTTCCGTGGACAGGGATATCTCAACCCTCGTGTAAGAGTTTGGCTGGCCAGCACGAGGGGTGAGATATCCCTGTCCACGGAACAGACCTATGTTTGATTATTTTTCTCACATACATACAAATAAACAAATTCCAGTCGGAATAAACATCAATCTTATTCTTCCGGCAAACCCCAAAGCCCCAGGGTTGAGACGGATGATTCCCCATTCACAACAGTTGTATGACATCGCGGAAACAATAAAATGACGTCACATAGACAATCCATTATTATGACGTAATAGCGCGTGTCAGCTGTCTTTCCCTACCCCGTGCAAGATAGAGTTTTCCCTAGCAACAACAGGATCACCCTGTAAAGTATGTGAGAATAATGTATCTTATAATGTCTCTCACTTCACTTTATTGAATATTTTTAGATATATAATCTGAAGATGCTTCTTGGCCATCAGAGTTCTAATATTACACACATATACACTATACCATCGAACGTGAAACTTTTAATTCATCATAACTCAGACTTTTTCCCACATATCAAACTGAAATTTGGTTTTTCAGTGTATTACAGTCATATGAATGTTATGATGTCACTAACTTCATTCAGTATTTCAAAGACTTTGTCTGGTTGACACTTGTTGTCAGTTGAAGACGCTTTCAAGATAGTGCTAAAGGCTTTCTCTATTAGGGTAAGGAATTGTATGTACTGGACCAGTAATATAAGTGTACATGTATTAGCTAGATACTTTCTGTTACAGGGCGGAGTACAGTGCATTCTGGAAATGTGTACAAGCAGGAGGGGCCTACTTATTTACTCAGCTCTGCAAGATCCTCATCCTTGCCTCATTCTTCCCTTCAACAGACGTAGTACCCGGAGGAATGGATGTCATTGGCGTGAGTATTTTTTTCAGTTGGGACCTTTCTTTTTCAGCAATTTTCAGGGTGTAAAACTTTGCATCCTGTACGCGTCACTGTCCATCAGAATGCAGTCTCTCCCTATGCCATTTGTCCCTGGACAGAGACCAATTTAAAATTGAGATGAAAATAAAAATGAACGATCTTGACAAGGCATGGACTTTGCCCTTACAAAATGTTGCGGTGTACTCAAACTTATAAACACTGATACGTGTGATGCTCATCAGGACATCACAAGGGACATTTCTGGCATTAAGAAAGACAAACGGGTTGAATGAAATCGTAAAATTAACATTTATGAAAAGATGATGCAATGTTATCACTTTATCACATGTAAAATCATAGCTTCTTGGTCAAAATTTGTATGAAAACATAAGATGCAATGGATGCAAGCATCTTGTGTGAAACTCAGCTCAATATTTTTGTGTGGAATCTTTTTCAAAACCTATGGGACAGATCACTGGTGGAAAAACCAACAGAAATTACTGCTTTTTCATTGGAAAACCCATGAAAATTAACCCGGAGAATTTACAGTTTCTTATACCTTTAATTAGCATTGAATGTTTAATCAATATTTAATTGATTTCTTGTTGTAGGAGTTTCTGAAATCAACAGTAGATCTGGCTGACTTGATTGGGCTTCATTTTGTAATGTCAAAAATCGCTGGGAAAGGTCAGCTAAAGTTTATGGTGGCTGGACTAGGCTGGGCAACAGCAGAACTTTTTATGACCAGGTAAATAAATTGTCAAAGAGGCGAAAGTCAAAATGATCTGGCGGTAAATTGGCCAGGAAGGTATCAAGACAAACATTAGAAAGGTAAAACTTAGCCTTGTATTTGAGTTCGAGTGCAACCCTTCATTTTGATTTTAAAGTTAAACCAAGAAGTAAATACAAGGGTTTTACAGATGTGCAAGTTGTAAATTTGATAGAAGGGTTGTCATTAAAATTCCTAGTGTAGCCCTGAAATGTCCTAATTTCAGAGAAACATTTTGAATAATTTCGAACAATTTACCGTCCCCTAATTACTAGTGTTATTTTCTGATGCTGAAATGATTGTTTGGTCTGAGTAAATTACTGCAGACAATCTTAATTCTCAGCAGAAATGGCTGTATTGTGAGACATGTGTAGATTGTAGAATGTAGTTTTGTTTATAAAAAACGAGATAATGTCAATTGTGTCTCGCCCAAAAAACATGGGCTGGATACCAGTAAAGCACAATAGCTGGAATGGGTAAGATATAAAATGGAAATACCAATATGTATACATATATTGCAATTATTTCAACTTATTTCTAAGAGTTGAAGCAGAAATACAGAAATAATGTTAAAATTGAATCAATATTATACAAATTACGCTTGCTTGGTGTGTTAACTTAGTTTTTTAAATAAAAAACATTTAAATTTTATCATTGAACTAAACTGATGTTATCTGTATAAAATCATTATAAATGGCCTGAATATCTACGAATGCAATATATTGTGTTGTACAGCAGACTTTCCTCAATTTTTACATTTTATTGTAATATCAATATTGCTCACAAGTCCCACCCCTGCTATATATGCCACTGATATTTCTGATATGATGTCTTGCAGGTTTTTGCCTCTATGGGTGGGAGCCAGAGGAGTAGAATTTGACTGGAAATACATACAGATGAGTGTTGAATCAAACATCAATTTGGTGAGTTTACAACTGTCAGACCTTGGTATGCACATGCACCATACACAGAAACACAGGAGAATGTATGATGTGTCTGATTTTCCCATCTGTTCATGAATAACCTGTTGATTGGAATTTAAGTTCTACTTTATTTTTAGGTTAAGTAAAACCAATACGTTGTTAAAATCCATATCCCAGTGTCATGTATGTGTAATCTTTGTAGTAAAACCACATAGCATTTCTGAATGTATCTGTGTTTCTAATTTTAAGAATTCTTAGGTTATCTTACATACCTGCCATTAGGGTAAAGAAGTAAGGTAGAAAATGTCTTCAAAGGTCTGTTTATAAGATTAATATCTAAAAATATCTTTGTTTAAAAATGAAATATCTTTGTTTAAAAATATTTTTTAAATCTATTTCTCTGATGATCAACTGTTTGTCTATGTTTTTGTCAGCTTTATCCGACTTATAATAAGCAAGCCCTGTTCTTAGTATAAAGATTGAAGTGAGATATCTCTGGTCCGTACTTACCATACTCTGTTTCCATAGGTACATCACATCAGCACCGCCATGCTTGTCTGGTTACGCAGCAGAAGTGATCTACAGAGATCTTTTGTACCTGTTGTGCTGACATTGTTGGCCCTCAGCTGCTACAAACCGCTCATCGTAGAGTAAGTAGTCATGTAGTATTTCTTTGTACTTATTTGTGTAATATTACTAACTGGTGAATGCCCTCAGCTGCTACAAACCGCTCATCGTAGAGTAAGCAATCCTGTAGTATTTTATGTACAACTTGACCACTAACTGGCTTCTAATTAAGGGTGTATGCTCTCAGCTGCTACAAACCGCTAATCGTAGAGTAAGCAATCCTGTAGTATTTTATGTACAACTTTACCACTAACTGGCTTCTAATTAAGGGTGTATGCTCTCAGCTGCTACAAACCGCTAATCGTAGAGTAAGTAGTCATGTAGTATTTAGAGTACAAAATTAATGAAAAAATTCTTTTATTTAAGGGTGTATGTTACATTAATGTTGCATGTATCTTCTTTTCAAAAGAGTTCTGTGCTAAGAAATTTTTGGATGATTTTATTTAAGTAATGATTTTGATTTGGAGGATGGAAGTCCATGAAAAATGTAATGCATTAAAATAGGGCGGGAATCAGAAGCGTAATAATTAGCGCCATATTCTAATGACGTCACACTTGACAACAAGGCTGCGCGACATTTTGAATGGGAAACTCAATGCAATTACAAAGTTTCTGCTATTTCCTGGTATGATTGCTGATAAAAATGTTATTAGTTGTATATTTATGTAAATACTTAGTGTGTGTACCAAAAAATTACCATAACAACCGCTTATTCTATCGTTGCCTTTAAATGCAGCGAATAGAAGATACTGTTATGATTGGTCAATACCAAAAAGTGATATTTTCTCTCTTTTGATATATTTGTCACAATGTGAAAAATATCAGTTGTATCAATTTGAAAGAATCAGATATTTCACTCGCAAAAATGTAATAAATATATATCTCTTAATGTTAATTACATCAAAGCCATTACTATCTGACATGAAATGACTTTGAGATGAGAAACAAAATTTTCCAGCAAATGAGACAAGAAAAATAAGCTCTTATATATAGCAACCTTTCGTTTATTTAAGGATCCTGATTCATGCAGTGGGCCTAGGATCGTGGACGCTGCTCCTGGCCAAGGCCATGTTTACAGGCTGTGTGGGAGTGATCGCCCTCCAACTGTGTCTCAGTCTCACCATACACGCCACCAACTCGTACTACTGAACTGACCCTATACATACCTACTACTGCAAGTCTCAGAAATGTCACTCCTAAATGATCTCACCTGTGTCTTATTATACACTGGAGAAAAATGGGTTTGAGATTTGAAATAGGGGAAAAGTGCAAGCAATATGTCTGATATGAGGGAATTAAGAATAGAAAAACACTTCAAGAACAGTTTCTCACAAAAGATGAGGATAGGAGAGTTTAAACATTAGAAGTGAACAAAACCGATTTGTATGTATATTTGAGATGATTTAATCAGGTTGCCCTACCGAGATAACTGCATGGATTTATCAGACTGAGGTTTAGTTTGATAATGAGGGTTTACAGAAACAACGATTTCTAGAATGAAGGTTATGTCACCAATGGAAATAATTATTTCAGGTTCTGGTATCAGCACAACATGCATTAGAGAAATCTCTAGTAGAATTAGTCCCCCCCTAATCTGGTCTATATGTACATTGCAATTACCTGATCAGGGGTGTTTGGCTTTGTGATCATAAACTTGGTGCAGTAGAAAAAAACACCCACTCCAGATTGGAGATTGAGTCTGGTCTCTAGGCCATTGTGTACTGTAGCTACACCTATTCAAGTTTCACCAAAGTTCTGACATTCCATTGTTATATTTCAATACAATTTTCAAATTAGCTGATACTGTCCAGGTACTGGTCGTAGGTCGGTGGGATTTTCTCCAGGAACTCCGGCTTTCCTCCAACAACCAAATCTGGCCCATCCTTAATGACCATAGCTGTTAATAGGACATGACAAATGAACAAAAAACGATACTGTCCACATCAGAGCTATATATGGCTGTGTGGAGTTTTTTTATTGCAAGCATTCTTGCGGGCTAAGGATTCCTGTTACACTGCATTGTAGTTTTGTATACAGAGTAACCTCCCCTTAGTTTCCCTTTGGATACAACAGTAGCACAGTAAGGCCAGGACACCTCTGTTGACCAGGTTACTCGGTCAATTAGAGCAATATAGCATAACAGCTTAAAAGTCCTGTGTTCAAATTGCAGTCTAGCCCTGCTGGATTTTTACACTCATGATCAGAACACTGTTGTTGATTATATTTTGCTTATTTCATTCTTATTAGTTTTTTTTCACAAAAAGTCCTGTAAGGTAATGTTTTCTTCTCAGAAAAGATTTATCAAAACTGACAGAAAAACAACAGTTAACAATGCACTGTTACAGTTTTTGGCAGTGGAATGGGCATCCTTAAAGTTACAGTTTTTGGCAGTGGTACGGGGATCCTTAAAGTTACAGTTTTTGGCAGTGGTATGGGAATCCTAAAGTTGCAGTTTTTGGCAGTGGTACGGGGATCCTTAAAGTTACAGTTTTTCGCAGTGGTACGGGGATCCTTAAAAAGTTTTTCTATAATTTCAATGGTATTCATTATTTTCTTAAAAATGATCAAATCTCAAATATTTATTCAGAGATGACAATTTCACTTTAATTAAATTAAAAAAATAAAATTGTTGGCAATATATTTTAGTTAAGAGAAAATAGAGATACATGTGTATGGAAGACATACAAGTCTGGTGTATGATGGTTGCTGTAAGGGAGAGGTAAATCTAAATTATCAGAGTCTTTATAATAAGTAAATCCTTATGTTTGAGTGTGATGTAGTGTTAGTAATGGTACACGTGTGTAATTTTATTGTCCGTAAAGAGTATTTACACATGTGTGACTTTTTAATCAGTAAAATTTGTGTAATGGTGCACATGACTATATAATTAGTTATGTGTATGTGTGTAAATTTGATGTTGGTCAAATGTATGTGTGTAAAAGAACAGGCGTGAAACTTTATGATAATCAGTAAAGTGTCTATAATGACACATATGTGATTGAAGAAATTGGTAACGAAGCTGTACACATGTGACAGGAGAGCGTGTGTGTGACAGTTCACGTTACTGTTGTTGGTAAAGAGGGTTCAACTCATACACCCCTACATATTTAAACTGGACTTACCCAGTCTTTGATTTCCTAAGCTTCAAGTGTGACTTAAGGGGTGAATTGGTACAAGATACACATAACTTTATTTTTGATAAAATGTATGTAACGGTACATATGTGTGGACGGTAAAATATGTGTGTAGCCTTATAAAGTGTATGACTTAATAATTAGTTCTTAATAACCCTACCACCACATAATGGAATTGCCCAGGTCATTGCATGGTTGAGTCTACTAAAGTTATGAAGGGGTGAAGGAGTTAAGTGTATATGTATGTGTAGTGTACTGCCATTTTTAATCAGTCTAGCATATATAAAATATAACGGCCAAAGTATTGTTATGTATTCAGTTTCTTGAAATGCATCGTACAAGAGGTTCTGGCTCACAAGCAGTGACGTTTATGTGTATTAAAGTAAATATGGGACAAATAATTAAAAATACAAAAATACGATCAAGTTATTCTCTTTTGGTGACAGATTCCATCGTCTACTCACAGGTCACGGAGCTTGTAGACAAAAATTCTTTTTAATTTTTACTTGACTTTGCCTGAGAAGACTGAAGTTCTGCACAATAATGTAAAAATCCAGCATGTCCAACAAAGGCGTTTCACACATTTGGTGACCTGTAGTGTCCTATGTCACCCAGGGAGGTTGTCCGATATTGTCCGATATGTAAAATGTTTTTTGAACCCTTTTGATAAACCCATATTACATCCAACATGTGATCTGGTAAATTATTTATATAATGTTGGTGTCACTGTAACTTTTTAGAAAATAAAACTTTTTTGTAACTGAAGTATTTCTTAGTTTATATATGACTGTATCATCATATAGATATCTGACTTATATATGTCATCCTGGAAAAAAAATACCAGCCGCTTCCGACAGACTCCACAAGGAAGAATTTCTCTTTACCTCATTAGGTAGAGTGTAGAACTAGTAAACCAGGGTCCTGGATTCAATGCCTAGCAGAGGCATTGAAAACATAATGACCTCTGTCCAATATATTTGTATTCAAGCAGGGTTCTGGGAAAAGATGACAAATATGCACAGCGATACTTTTACAAAAATGGCTGACCCCTGGAGAACTTGCGACAAGTTATTTTCTAGAGGGGGGTTGTTTGTCACTCTGGTGAAATACTAGCCTCTCCCTACCGACTCGGCTAGAGAAAAATTCTCTTTAGCTCATTCAGTAGAGCATCAGGCTAGTAAACCAGAGGTCCCGGGTTCGAATAGAAGTGGAGGCATTGAAAAATATGGACTGCTGTTACATGTACATATACAGAAGTCAGGACAACCATATAGGGAAGTATACTAAATGTGTGAGCTAGCTGTGAGTTTGTGTCTTGGCATGGTGTTCATCACCTTTCATAGACATTAAGCAGACAAAGAGGAAGGTGCAGTATTATGATCACCTTTTGTCCGTCCATTTACCCGTTACATGTTTAGTCCTTCTCATGAAAGGTATTACTAGCACTTCGACTAAACTTCCTTGAAATGTTTCATTAACATCCCCCACCTATTGGATGCAATACTGATTTGGCATATTTGAACTTTTAATCTGTCTACACTGCAACACCTCCTACCCCACTGCACTAGAACAGTTATATGAAGGTATCTTCATTAAACTAGGTCAGTGATACAGGCCCTAGTAACCTCTTGGCTAGTTAGAAATTAGATCCTTTTTATCAGCAGTCATCATTTTTTTTTTTATGACTCTCTTCAAACGATTACAGCATGAAAATTCTGCTGTGTACATGCAGATTATCTTTAAGTAATTGAAAACTCGCTAAGTTTTTTGGTTTTAGCTTGAAAGAAAGTAGATTTGAATTTGAATGAAATATTACTGAATATGCTAAAATTGCACCAATAACCGAATTAAAGGTCAAAGCAAGTGAGCTGGTTGTAATTTTTTTTAAAACAATCACCAAGTAATGAATAGAACAATTAATTTCATTTTACAAACTAATTAGAAATAAAAAAGTAACAGCTGTGATTCGGCCTTTTACTCCTCTAGTGTATGGACTTAAAACCACAACTCATTAATAGTTTTGTCAAATATTTTATTACTCGAAAAATTGAATTCAAACTCTTGTCAATTGTGGAAAGGTCTCGATATCTCGACTAGACGCGCCGAGACCCATACTGCAGTAACATAAAACATGATCACATCAATACACATATATTACACTACACAAACCAATGGACAGTGGCTACACTGCCCTACACCAGAACACAGAAACGGCTGTCAGTATTCATGCTTACAGCTAGCTAATCTAATTAAGCTGCTTAAAATTACCTAAGCAAGACGCTTAACCTCTGAATACTGTAAGAATTTATTTTTAAATATATATAAATTGTACATGCATTATTTTCTTTATTTTTTCCAGACAATTTAAATTAACTCATTCATCCCTGAACTTTCATAATGAACTATTCAAAATTTTAAATTGGAAGAGTTTAAATGTGTGTTCAGGGGTGAATGAGGTAATGTGAGCACCAAACATCTGAGGCTCCTCGAGAAAGTCCGACAAGGTCATCATAATGGACAGAAATATAAAACTCAACCTCTCAACTAAATACAGATACCTATGAACTCATTCACCCCTGAAATTTCATTATGACCTATTCCAACTTTTGAATTGGAAGAGTCCAAATGTGTCTTCAGGGGTGAATGAGTTAACGATAAAACATCTACTGATTATACTTGCTATATATAACATGAGAGGCCACTGGTCGGCTATTATACCTACTGTTACACAGCGAAGGTTAAAAGTATCTTGCCGTGTTAAACCTCTAACATTGTTGTAGTACTACTAATGTATTTATACTTAACCCTTTCACCCCTAAGTAACTTTAGTAGACTCTCCCATGTATTGATATGGATGAGTCTATTATGGTCTACAGTCTGGTGAAAGGGTTTATAACCACACTTTCTCTCCCGGATTTCAGGATACCCCGCATACTGTCAGAATATAGTTTTTGTACACACAGAATAAACAAGGACCTGCCCAGGCCAACTATATGGTTGACGTTTAAAAACAACCCACAACATATTTTGTCAAAAATAAATATTATTCAACTATAGGTGATAAAATTAACTTAGGTTTTAATTGTCTCAGACAACTGGGTACTAACAAAACACAACTATACACTGTTGCTGTGTCTAGTTATAATGACCTGGGCAGAACATTAAACGATCAAGTTTTGGATATCATGATTAGTTTCAAAACAAGGCAAGGAAATATATACATATATAAAGGATCTTCCCTAGGTTTCTATTTCATCATATATGACTTCTTTTGATTTTAGTGAGCTGAAGTGGAAAACTTGTGGCCAAGTTTCATAAATCTTTTAAGAAATGGAAACAGATCCAACATTTTTTTTATACCACGATCAAGAAATTTTGCAAATACTGCAAAAATATAAATAAATCTTGCAGTAAAACAGTCTCATTTTTAATCTATATTTTTCCTACTGTTAAGTCATTATATAATCTGCAAGTCTGTGACATCAATTCAATATCATATTACATCACAATCCTATTACACAAGTTCTTCAGAAAACTTATAAATGACTCGGATGTGTATATACTGAATACACACTGATATAAACTAACATTGATCTAGACCAAAGGATTAAAAAAAAATCAACGGCAAGCTGACATTTAACGATTCCTGTCCCATCGCAGGCAAAACACTAGAGAGTTCTACTGTATCTTTTTTGGTACATAGAGTAACCTCCCTTTAATTTCATTTTTGGATATAATCACTGTGGTGCAATTTGACCGGTGTACTACAATTGACCAGGTAAGGAGGCACGTGGTAGGACACCGGGCTCGTGACCGAAGGGTTGCGGGTTCGCTCCACGGCACGGCACGGCAATGTGTTGTATATTTGAGCAAGATACTTTACTCTGCTTGTTCCAGTCTACTCAGCTGTAAATGAGTACGTGGTTGGGCAGTGCTAGAATTGTTGAATGCAAGCTGCGGATAATAATTTGTGAACGGCTTTGAGACGACCTACGAACTAGGATGTGATAAAGCAGTATATATATAAGATCCTCCAAATATTATTATTGCAACATAGTTGGATAGAGCAACAATTAAAACGATCGGAGGATTTGAACCCAGGTTCTGATTGTTGTACCATCGCTGAAACTGATTGAGCTACCTGGCCCATATGTGCTCCAGTTACATCCAAACAGAAGTTAAGGGGAGGTAACTGTACGTAGCAAAAGCAGCAGTGCAGTAGTGGGACAGGGTTGCTAACTCTAAAATTATGTTTAAATGAACAAGTTTAATTTGTGCATTAAAGGAATAGTTTGTAAGCTGTACTGTAAAATTAATTCCTGTATATATATATTTTGTTTACAGCATCAAGGCAATTTTACAGCAATATGTTTTAATATGTTTCATATAATACACCAATAGGTTACATAGAACATCAATTTGCATATTTTAATGATGCTGAAGAAAACAAAAAATTAGCATAAAAATAATTTTTTATAGTATTCAGTATACTGGTATTGACAGAAAAAATGATACAGGGAAAAGTAAATTCACGATGCCAAAAAGGGAACCATTCTATGACGACTTGACCATGTTCACTGTACTAAGTTACTAAGTAACATATCAATAAATATAACTAAATAATGCACAACAAACACTTAGTGTCTGAATGGACTAAAACTCTTACAGATATGAAATGCATTTATTCAATTCCTCCTGAATTATTTTATCATTTTCATGATTCACTTTTCAATATTTTGTTTATCTCTGAAATTAGCAATATCTTTTTTCAAACTTTGAATATTGTGTGAGTTCATCAGTAGATATTAATAATCATTATATTCTTAGAACATTACATCTTTGACCCTTACATAAATACCGGGATAACGAATCTTAGATAAAAACTGGGAAAAAGGAATCACTTTCATTTTATTCAATTTTTAACTGAAAAATTGTTGCTGAAAATTGATTCACTTATCCCTTCAGGGCTGAACATGTGACATCTTGGATGATCACATGACCTGGATTAATTGACGTCACATGATCCATGCAGTCACATGGAAATTCACAGAACACAACCAGGACTGGAAAGCTGTAAGAGAGGATTCAAATGAGATTCACAGTGAAATGCGTTAGTAAATAAATGCATTTGAATCTCAAACTACTTATATTTAGAATGGTAACCAGTCCGGTGACCTTTGGTGACCTTTGGTGACCTTTACTGAACCTGGCAACCCAAGATTCAGAAATAAGCACTAGACTAGAGAGTTAATGATGCACCTTTTATACAGTTAACGAGACCATCAGGCAGTTCAATATTACAGTTAGCGAGACCAACAGGCAGTTCAATACTGCAAACAAATATCAAGTGTGTAAATGAATTAATTGCCACTTACAGCCTCTTGACTTCTGATTGAAACAATATTAGACCAACAGTACTGGGAGCAATCAAAATGGCTTGTCAAAATAACACTTGAACGGCCCTTTGGACTTCCACAATTTTCTTCAGTAAATCCCTTTCCCATCCCAGATCTACAGACATCATTAAGTTGACAACACAGCCACCAATAGAGATTGTGTATGCTAAACCACAGACCACCAGCACCTCTCTCACTCGATCATTATTGAGATAAAGACTGGAATATGGAATTAATAATTGGAACTTCACTATGTGTAAGGATATACGCAGCAGAGCATTAATATTATCAATGTGTATTCATTCTGGTAAACCTCTCAAAAATGTCATCAATTCTTTTGCACCTTTCAAATATGTCATTAATTCTCGTGCACCTTTCAAATGTGTCATCAATTCTTGTGCACCTCTCAAAAATGTCATCAATTCTTGTGCACCTTACATATATCAATTCTGATGAACCTCTCAAAAATGTCATCAATTCTTGCGTACCTTTCAAATATGTCATCAATTCTGGTGAACCTCTCAAAAATGTCATCAATTCTTGTGGACTTTTCAAATATGTCATCAATTCTTGTGTACTTTTATAATGTATCAATATAATTAGTTCTTGAGTATCAACCAAATCCATATTACCATTCATTTATTTAATTAAAGAGGTTTATAACTCTATGGGTAAGATGCATATGACGAAGAAAAAACAAATATTTACACATTTCTTGGTGTAATAGGAGGGTTTGCTTTAGTTTTTTGTTTACAGCCCATCAACAATAAAATTCATCTATAAGCCAAACAACACGGCACAGAAACGAAACAGTTGAAAACATTAAACCTGGTACTTAATAACCCTACCACCACATAATGGACTTGCCCAGGTCATTGCATGGTTGAGTCTACTAAAGTTAAATAGGGGTATTTCATCTCATATCTTAATGCTACTTTGTAGCTCAATTGTCTACCTTTATCACAAAAACGGTTTGCGGTACGGATATTTTGCGAGCTTATTGCACCTGTGTACCATATAAACAAATCACAGATAACTATTCACAGAACCAGTTGATACAAAATGGAAAATATTTGTAGTCGTTAATCTGACAATACGTACATAGTCCTCTTTTATAACTTCACCAGGTGAATGTCAGGTTATAACGCTGATGTGTCAGATTCTCCTGACGTACCACAGTACCACAATATATTATCTCCTGACGTACCACAACATCTCAAGTGCCGTACCACAGTACCACAACATCCCGAGTGGCACACTATCCTCAGAGGATGTCTGTTAGGAGTTCCACTTCTCTGTACCTCATGTTCTTTAAAACAATTTCAGCTCAGATTTCAGTTTTACCAACAAGACTTTTTTGCCAAAGTTTTACTTAAGGATCCGTCCCATTGCACTGTGACTTTTCCTACGTTTTCCTACTTTCGTTTGGATATACATTTAGCCCAGCTCGGCCAGGACACTTCCGTAGACCAGGTAGCTCAATTGCTTTGAGCGACAGTAGAACAATCCGATGTCCAGGGTTCAAATCACAGTCTAGCCGCACATTTTTTTTTACATTCAAAATATTAATTTTAAACAAAGGTAACGTTTCTTTAATCAAAGCTATAGTCAAGTTGGAAAAACAGATTCCAAAACTTACAATTTTTGGCAGTTGTACAGGGATCCTTAAATGGAACTTGATATAATAGATAATTTTTGTGTAGGTTTGTATATATCACAGTTCAAATTTTGAAAAAAAATAAAAATCTCACATATGTGAAATAATTTTCCTACACTTGGTGAAATTACCAGTTATAACTCAAAAACTGTCAATTTAAGAATCCCTGTTCAACTGTATGCTAAACATTAAAGAGTTTCATGCTAGTTTCTCTACAGTAACCTCCCCATAATTTTGTTTTTGATATAATTGTTGCACGACTGGCTATGATTTCTCCCACGGACCAATTAACTCATTCGGGTAGAACAGGGTCGAATCCTGGTCTCGTCCTCGTCCCTCTTTACACCCAGAGCACTGTTAAGGATTCCCTTTTTTTAATTGCATCGTTATTGTTTTCTTAACAGTTATCCAAGGTTTTGTCGTTTTCCTTTTTCAAAAATTATTTACAAAAGCCACCAGCCATGTTTGATAAGGTTTCAAGTGCATAGTCATGGTTTTTGACAGTGGTAACGGAATCCTTAACACAGAATATCATTTTGGGTTTTTTCATAGACTCCATGAAAATTATTTTTTAAATGTGGATAAAAACATTGATTGCTAATTTTTCTTTCTTTAAAGTTATGAATAGGAACAAATATTTTATGGCAAAAAGTTTAAAAAAAAATAAAAATCCAAAAGATATTTTTGAGAAATTAAGGTACAAATGTTAAATGGTTACATCCTGTGTGTCTCCGAGCTGGTATTTAGTTGGAAGTTCATGAGGGGTTACAGGACATCCTGTAGGGGGCGTTCTCCTCCGAGTCTTCTGTGTCATACTCGCTGTTATCACTGGAGCTGGACGCCTGATCAGCTGGAGTCCCATCCTGGTCAGCCTAAAAAATTATATAACAACAACTGGCGATTAGTTTTTGTGACGAAAAGGCATTATGTTTCCTGTCATCACCTAATTAATATAATTATGTATAGAAAGTTTCAGCAGGAAAAAAATCTGCTGTTTAATTTTTGATTCGTTTTACTTTTGACCTAGAAGTGAAGGAAGGTCATGCATGCTGACCTTATTACTGTAATGCAAACCTATCTATAGGCGACACAGGTATACTGAAGTTTCCTCGTGATCATTTTGATGGTTTAAAAGTTACAGCCTAGACATGATTTCCCTGGGAATGTTGCACTTATTTGACCTTTGACCTGGAAGTGAAGCCGCAGTGACTTAATTACAGTGCACACCTCCAATTCTGTGATTAGGTATACTTCTCCATATGTGTAAAATCAATTTACAGTACGTGGGCGAGACCTGCACCCAGCTCAATATCAGAATCAACAACCACCACTGCTCCATCAAGCAGAACAAACCAGACTTCCCTGTTGGAAAGACATGCAGGTGGTTGCCATAGATCATTGTCCTACATGGGATGAAACGAGACGACGTACAAGAGAACGGTTTTGGATCACCAATCTACAAACCCGCTACCCTCGAGGAATGAACGAACGATTGGCGGTTGCCATCCGCTCGTTTTCCTTCCAGGGGGCATTTGACCTAATGGTGCATTACTGCACAGTTGGTCTGCCATCTTGCCGGCCTGCTGCTGCATGTCAGTGTGTGTGACCAACAGCCGTTGTCAGATTAATTTTGCAGATTTATACAGTATCTTAGCCATTTCATCTACTTATTCCTCCTGCACTCACTTATTTGATAATTACATGCATTATTCCTGCAAACCGAAAGAGGCGACTAAGTGTGGACCCCCCTGCTGTGACTGTTAAATCCACTGCAGCATTGAGAGGCGACTAATGTGGGCAGTCCGTAGGAAATTGAGATTTTTCACATTTATCGGGCCATATTCCCACATGCACATGTTCCACGTTTTTGATATCTCGTCCTTTTTTCTGGTGCTTATCTCTCGTTGACTCACTTTCTGTCATAGTGCATCTTGCACAAGAATAGGTCCTCTACCTATATTTAAAGAGTTTTCTAAAGGGATTCTTCTCTGATTTTGGTTATCATTTGGCGGGTCGTTGTTGTGTTTCATTGGGCGAGTCGTCTTAGTGCACTTTCGCTATAGAGCAGAGTCAGCGAGCGTTCTGATATTTAGATTATCAGCATTCCTTGTCCGCGATGCTCTCTGCTTAATTGCTGCCTTCGGCTGTCTTTAGCCGAGGGGACTATTGGTCTTATATAATAGCTATATTTTCAATTATAGTATATCAGTTCTATCTTCTTGTAATATGATGTATATGTACATGTAACTGTTCTGTTTCACTGTGTCTTGATAAAGGAGCGGATCGCTTCGAAAATTTGACAACCTAAACTTGTCCACACTGTTGGAATTTCCTCTTTGCCCAATATCCATATATATATATATATATATATAATAAAAAGTGATTAAATGTCCATGTGAAGGAAGTAAATATAGAAAAAATAAAATTAACGACCGACTAAAAAACTAGCTGCTTTCACCCTTCACAGGGCTCTTCAGCTTTATTCAAATAGGTTTATACATATATATGGCTTACAGACCAAATTTATTATTATTTGAGAAAGAACCAGAAGAATTTTAAATGTCTCCTTTTATTCAAAAGTGATATATACTACAATACCAGGGGCCTGTTTGTTTATGAGGAACAACCAATGAGTCTGTTTTTAAATGTAACATTTTTGGGTATAAATCCTGGTGGACCTGCAAATGTTTATGCAGGCCTTGCAAGGCTTTGCCAAGCCTCGCCTGAAAGCACTTTTAGATTACTGGGTCCGACCTTATTTCGCAAACGAATAACTCTGATAAACGAAAACGGCCCAGGTAATAAAACATTACTTATTTGGTTTGGTCTGTTTCTGATTTACGTCCTATTAATACCTATTGTTATTGATGGACGTGCCAGGTTTTGGTTGTGGAGGAAATCCAGAAAACCCAGAGAAAAATCAAGGACCTGTGGTCAGTACTTAGCAATTGCCCCATGTAGACCTCGAACCCGCAACCCAGCTGTGGAGGGCTAGTGATCGTAGATGTCGGACTCATTAACCACTGAGCCACCGCGGCCCACCATGTAATGGGTCAGGGAGTATATAATCATTGAGGTTTGTATCTTACTCCATTACTTGCGTGAAGTTTCCACTTACTCGTCTCTGTGCACGGCGGATGTGGTGCATTAAATACCACAACATCTGCCCGTCAATCATGTCTGGCTCGTTCACCAGCTCCTCCTCTCGCTCCTTACGATTCTTCTTCATCGTCTAAAATTGATACATATTTTTTACATCAAATCGTACGTTATGTGAAAACTTCATTGGCTAAATAAACAACAACACATAATCTAGCAGAAATATGATAACATATAACTACATAAAATGGATATATGTGCCATTATTGTCAGGGTGTAACGCTACACCTGAAGTGTATTTTGTATCGTTATAACGGGTGACATAGGGCTCTTTTCCCCTTTGCTGTTTTGTATCGTTATAACGGTTGCAATATACAATAAAACTTGCTTGTGTCGAACACACTTAAATCAAATACAGCAGATGGTTCAAATGTTTCCCTCGGTCCCACTGTTTTCTCCTCTTTATATTTAACTTAGTTTTCTGCAGTCAAACATAGTGGTTGTGCCAGGTATGTTTGTCCGTCCCTACCTTAACAATCATACTAAATTTTCTTGGCTTAAGTTGAATGTTCAAATCTGCCATTTAGTCTCGCAGAGCTATGAGCTTTATACAAGAAAACATTTTGACTACCAGTTTAAGGGGAGGGGGGTTGAATGCTTTGCAACAGGAAGAAAATAATTCCACTTCAAATACAAACATTCTAATGATTCCGAAATCCAATATGTGTATTTTAAGTTTCTTATCAACCATTTTTATTGCATACTGTTTGAAAATAACCCTAAAGCTGATGGTCTCATTAAGAAGTTGCATCGCTATTATTTTCCCATTATAATCGGTTGAATCTGATATAAAAATCTACTGATATCAATTTCTAGCTTTAGAGGTTTACGTTGTCGACTCACTTTCCACCGACCATCCTTTCAGTATTGATCAGCTAAATCTTCCCTTACCTTTCTGAGTTCGTCCAGCTGTGTTGGCTCCTCGGCAGTGGGCGCCCACACCTTGACGTCGTGGTCGAGTCCACTGGTAGCGAGCACAGGGGCAAATGGGTGGGGCTCCAAGACGTTAATCTGAATTGTACATACAGGATCATACATGTAGGTAAATACCCTTATTTATGTAACTGAATTTTAAGGTGTCGACATCTGAGAAGTCTGCATGTAATGTATAATGTCTGCATAGTAGTGTCTCGTAAGTCAGTACGGCTGGGCATAATTTGCATATGTGTATTTTTATTATGTAAGTGATTTGTTATGTAAAATAAAGGTGACACTTAAAAATTTTTTTTTATTTTTTTATTATTGTAATAATTGTTAACTGAAAACATCACCTCATTATTCATTTTGATTTTACCTGCCTGTCTTGTCCACATCTAACCCTTTCACCCCTATGTAACTTTAGTAGACTCTACCATGCATTTATCTGGATGAGTCCATTGTGTTCAACAGTGGTGAAAGGGCTAAGCACAAAATAATCTCAATACTGAAAACAAAATGAGATGATCTTCCCAACATCTGATACTGTATTGACAGAGTAGCAATGATTCTTCCTGCCACCTTATTATAGAAAGTTGCCAGATGACAAGACTTACTTGTCATTAAAAAAGTTCTAACTAATTATACATAGGGCTATTTATGTAACAAGAGGCCCATAGGGCCTGTATCGCTCCCATGGATATCTAAGCAATCATGGCAGAATATTCTCCAAATGAGATCCATGGGAATATGCCAGACCCCAAGGCCAATCCTTGTAGCCTATATATTTGTATTCAATTTTTCATGCCCAGCAATTTAATGTATGGTTATAGGGTGGGGATCTCAACTGTTTCCACTCTGTGACTCAGAAACTAGGTCCCTATGGTTGTGGCCAGACCCTGGGGTCAATTCTAATATCACGACTGCATTTGTCTCTTTATGCCCACCAATCGTATATATAGTTTTGGGGTGGGGATATCAACCGTTTCAAAGTTATGACACAGGGATTAAGTCTGCAAGGGTGGGGCAAACCCTGGGGTCAATTCTAATATCATGATTGCATTTGTCTCTTTTTGCCCAGCATTTCTATATATAGTTTTGGGGTGGGGATCTTAACCATTTCGAAGTTATAACCAAGGGGTTAAGTCTCCAAGGGTGGGGCAGTCCCAAATGCCATCCTGGAAGCATATGTGCATTCATCTCTTTATGCCCAGCAATGTATATATGGTTATAGGTCGGGGATCTCAACTGTTTCCAAGCTGTGACTAAGAAACGAGGTCCCTAGGGGTTCGGTCAGACCCCAGAGTCTATTCTAATATCGTGACTGCATTTGTCTCTTTATGCCCAGCATTTGTATATATAGTTTTGGGGTGGGGATCTCAACCGTTTTTAAGTTATGGCCCAAGGACTATGTTTCTAAGGATGGGGCCAGACCCTAGGGCCATCCCAGAAGCAAATGTGCATTTTTCTCTTTATACTCAGCAATTGTATATGTGGTTATATGGTGGGGATCTCAACCATTTCCAGGCAATACATTTTTTTGGCCCCATCCTTTAGCCTGGGGTGTCAGCCCCACCATTTGTACAATTTTGAATCCCTGCCTCCTATGAATGCGTCCGACCAAATATGATCGATATCCAGTGCATAGTCCTACAGAAGAAGTCGTTTATAGCAATCTAGCCAAATTGCCCCCTTTTGGCCCCGCCCTCATGATCAGCCCTCTGGGGGTCAGCCCCACCATCGGAGGCACAGTAGTCTAGTGGTAGGACGCCGGGCTCGTGACCGAAGGGTTGCATGTTCGAGTCACGGCACGGCAATGTGTTGAATCTTTGAGCTAGATACTTTACTCTGCTTGTTCCAGTCTACTCAGCTGTAAATGAGTATGTGGTTGGGCAGTGCTAGAATTGCTGAATGCTAGAACTGTGAGCGCCGTAAATGGCAGCACCGGCTGTATGCTCCCCAGGGAGTTGAGAAAGATATTGGCTGGTTGCGAAGGCCCAATAACCATGGATAACAGTTTGTGAATCGCTTTGAGACGACCTACGAACTAAGTTGCGATAAAGCGGTATATTATAAGAACCTCAAGCTATTATTATTACTTATTATAAATGAACCTCCACTTACCACTCCTCCTTCGTCCCCCTCCATGAACTGGACGATCTGCTCCGATTCCTTGCCCCAGAGGAAGATATGGCCACAGTCACTGCCACTGACAATGAACTCGCTCCGTGGCCCATAGAAATTGATACCTTTTACTGCAAGACAAATGTCCGTTTCACGAATTGAAAGCAAAGTTGGGTGATATGTTCCGAGAGTCACGTTTATGAAAATCTAATATTCAAGTTCAAAGCAAATAATTCTAAGACCAAGAAATCAAGCAACTAACACCATTAAACATTCTGATTCAACTGGATTTAAAGTTAATATTTTTCTTCCTTTTTTCTTCAAGATAAATAACTTTAGGGATTTTTCATAAACACAGGAAGAAAAGTGTTTCCCCCTAAAGGGCTCTTCTATTTTAGAATATCTGCATTCCATATATAAGGCAATAATTTTTGAGGACACCGTGAAGAGAAGTTAATTAAACATATTTACTGCAAACACATTTATCACAAAATTATACTTTTAAAGGTGTGATGAATACTATGTACAACACACCAAACACAAAGTCGTGAAGTTTATCACATTTGTAAAATTGATGGGTTTGATGTTGTCAGGTCATCACTTCTTTGAACACTTAATAAATATCAAAATGCGTTTAAAATGATGTCCCATTTGTGTCCCTTAGCAAGGAGTTGTATCATGAACATTGAATGTTTTAACCTTTTTTTTTTATATAGGAAACTAATTTCTAAGGTCTTCAGGGAGTGCATTATAAAATTAATGTATTTTACCCCACCACTGAAAGAATTCTTTTTTTGCCCTCCACAGTGCAAGATTTAAAAAAAAAATCCCAGCCATAGGTAATTAAGTGACATTTTTTAAATATTAATGTGCATATTTTCCAAATTAATATACATATATTTCTTAAATCAAGAATCTGTCGTGCATTTTTTTTTTTTTATTCCCCCCCCCCCACAAATTTTGAAAGATTACTACAGGACACTCACTCACTGAAAGCAGGGCCCTAATTTACTTTCGCTGACATATATGAAGACGGAGAGTCAGATCAGAGAGGTTGATACAGGTACTATAAATATACTGAACAAACAAAGAAACGCACAATGAAATTATGCAATCAATAGCCTATGATATTTTGGGAAATTTGTACAAATTTTTATATCAATATGAAGGGACAAGTCTACTCTTTACAATACTGTAGAAGAAAAGTCTGTGTGATGTCACTCGTGTTATCAGTAGTTACTCAACTGGGCGCGGTTGGTTTTTTTTTTTTGACGTTTCCTAATACGCCTGTTCAGCTCATCCCACAGATGCTCAATGGGAGACATGTCGGGGCTATATGGGGGCCATTCCAGAGGCTGAACGTTGTTTGCCGTGAGAAAATCACGACAGACTCTGGCAACATGCAGTCGAGCATTGTCTAGCTGGAAAATTAGGTTAGGACGTCTGAGAAGTGGAAGGACATGTGGTTGGAGGATCTGGTCTCTGTATCGAACGGCATTGAGGTTTTGATCCAGGACCACTAAGGGGGATTTTACTCCATGGAAGATGCCTCCCCAAACCATTACAGAAGCCCCACCGAATCTATCGCGTTCAACCACGCATGCATCGGCGAAACGCTCACCGCGTCTGCGACATACCCTTTTTCTTCCGTCTGAGCGATACAGACAGAATTTAGACTCGTCGGTGAACATCACACGCCTCCATCGATGCATCCCAAACCTATTCGGGCCATGTCTGTGCATCCAGTTAAGACGCACTTGCCGCCTCCGTGGTGTCAGAGGTGGCCCGACATAAGGTCGGCGCACAATGATTCTTTTGGCACGCAAGCGGTTCCTGGCAGTTTGAGGACTAATGGGTCTGCCATGAGTACCTAAGGTATGCGACGCAGTCTCTACAGTAGTCTTGAATCTGTTGCCCAAGTGCGACAATCGTATCGCCCTGTCTTGTGCGGTCGTTACACGCAGACGACCGCTCCTGGGACGATCGGAAACTAACCCAGTAGCACGGAAACGTGAACAGAAACGGTTAATTGTAAACGGGCCAACACCAAACTGCCGTGCGACAGCAGTTTGGCTATGACCATCCATCAACATCGCAATTGCTCTACCCCTCTGATTTTTGCGTTAAGCGTGGCATCTCAGTCAATGGCGAAATCAAAATGCCAACATGGAAAATGAATGTGGCTGAACTTAGAGTATCCGTTGAGATTATTTGTTTTAAAAAACTCCGGCTTGGCTTGACCACGCCGCGTGATTTGGACTAAAGAAGCTCACAAAGTCACTCAATGACATTGTCACGCTTGGCTGATTTTAGGGTAGATTGTTGAGAAGGGAGATCGTTCTTGATGTAATACCTGACCAAATATTCCATTACTTCCTTACAGCTAAGGTGTACTGCAGGGGGGGAACTTTGTGCGTTTCTTTTTTTGTTCAGTATAGATTGGAGTGAGATATTGTGTAGGTACCTGTAGCGTTGTTTCGGTGACCTTTGTACCGATGAATGTGTTCAGCACCGGTGGAATGGGAGTTGTTGAACAGGTAAATATCCTCGTCGTTATACGATCCTACGATTTCTGTAAACAGTAAACAAAATCCACGTCATTAAACAATCCTACAATTTCTGTAAACAGTAAACAAAATCCACGTCGTTGTTAATCCTACGATTTCTGTAAATAGTACATAAATATCCACGTCATTATACTATCATACTATTTCTGTAAATATTACATGAATATCCTCATTGTTATACGATCCTACGTTTTCTGTAATTAGTACATAAATATTGTCGTTATATACGGCACAAGTCACAATGACCCTACCTGTTCCATTGTAGTTATATACGGCACAAGTCACATTGGCTTTCATGTCGCTGCTCACCTAGAAAAGAAATATCCGGTTATTTACATTCGATCATTCAAGAAAATACAACAATTCTTTTATAATTAGAAAATATTTTGTTACTGACCTGGATTTAGCCTATGGCTGAGTATTTTGTTACTGACCTGGATTTAGCCTAGGGCTGAGTATGTTGTTACTGACCTGGATTTAGCATATGACTGAGTATTTTGTTACTGACCTGGATTTATCCTATGGCTGAGTATATTATTACTGCCCTGGATTTAGCCTATGGCTGAGTATTTTGTTACTGCCCTGGATTTAGCCTATGGCTGAGTATATTATTACTGACCTGGATTTAGACTATGGCTGAGTATATTGTAACTGACCTGGATTTAGCCTATGGCTAAGTATGTTGTTACTGTCCTGGATTTAGCCTATGGCTAAGTATTTTGTTACTGACCTGGATTTAGCCTAGGGCTGAGTATGTTGTTACTGACCTGGATTTAGCATATGGCTGAGTATATTGTAACTGACCTGGATTTAGCCTATGGCTAAGGATGTTGTTACTGACCTGGATTTAGCCTATGTGGCTGAGTATGTTGTTACTGACCTGGATTAAGCCTCTGGCTGAGTATTTTGTTACTGACCTGGATTTACCCTATGGCTGAGGAAATTATTACTGACCTGGATTTAGCCTATGGCTGAGTATTTTGTTACTGCCCTGGATTTAGCCTATATGGCTGAGGATTTTGTTACTGACCTGGATTTAGCCTAGGGCTGAGTATGTTGTTACTGACCTGGATTTAGCATATGGCTGAGTATATTGTAACTGACCTGGATTTAGCCTATGGCTGCGTATTTTGTTACTGACCTGGATTTAGCCTACGGCTGAGTATTTTGTTACTGACCTGGATTTATCCTATGGCTGAGTATATTATTACTGACCTGGATTTCGCCTATGGCTGAGTATATTGTAACTGACCTGGATTTAGCCTATGGCTAAGGATGTTGTTACTGACCTGGATTTAGCCTAGGGCTGAGTATGTTGTTACTGACCTGGATTTAGCCTATGTGGCTGAGTATGTTGTTACTGACCTGGATTTAGCCTAGGGCTGAGTATGTTGTTACTGACCTGGATTAAGCCTCTGGCTGAGTATTTTGTTACTGACCTGGATTTAGCCTATATGTCTGAGTATGTTGTTACTGACCTGGATTTAGCCTATCGCTAAGTATGTTGTTACTGACCTGGATTTAGCATATGACTGAGTATTTTGTTACTGACCTGGATTTAGCCTACGGCTGAGTATTTTGTTACTGACCTGGATTTACCCTATGGCTGAGGAAATTATTACTGACCTGGATTTAGCCTATGGCTGCGTATTTTGTTACTGACCTGGATTTATCCTATGGCTGAGTATATTATTACTGACCTGGATTTATCCTATGGCTGAGTATATTATTACTGCCCTGGATTTAGCCTATGGCTGAGTATTTTGTTACTGACCTGGATTTACCCTATGGCTGAGGAAATTATTACTGACCTGGATTTAGCCTATGGCTAAGGATGTTGTTACTGACCTGGATTTAGCATATGGCTGAGTATATTGTAACTGACCTGGATTTAGCCTATGGCTGGGTATATTATTACTGACCTGGATTTATCCTATGGCTGAGTATATTATTACTGACCTGGATTTAGCCTATGGCTGAGTATGTTGTTACTGACCTGGATTTAGCCTATGGCTAAGTATGTTGTTACTGACCTGGATTTAGCCTATGGCTAAGTATATTGTTATTGACCTGGATTTAGCCTATGGCTGAGTATTTTGTTACTGACCTGGATTTAGCCTATATGGCTGAGTATGTTGTTACTGACCTGGATTAAGCCTATGGCTGAGTATTTTGTTACTGACCTGGATTTAGCCTATATGTCTGAGTATGTTGTTACTGACCTGGATTAAGCCTATGGCTGAGTATGTTGTTACTGGCCTGGATTTAGCCTATATGGCTGAGTATTTTGTTACTGACCTGGATTTATCCTATATGGCTGAGTATTTTGTTACTGACCTGGATTTAGCCTATGGCTAAGTTTATTGTTACTGACCTGGATTTAGCCTATGGCTAAGTATATTGTTACTGACCTGGATTTAGCCTATGGCTGAGATGAAGTAAGTAATAAAATGATTTTGTCCAGTAAAACTATCGACAACACTGATCAAGGTTTAATCACAGTTTCAAATTTAAATATACAGCAAAAGAGGACATTTTCATGCTGAAATGCCCACATTTATGCGTTGTGTACATTAGCATGAAAACGTCCACATTCAAATATCTATTTATAGATTTCAGATTTTTTTTTTTATTGATTTCATTTGCCGATGCAAAAAATTCCACACCACGATCAGTTTAATAGGTAGCAGCACCAACATTTCAACTTGTGAACATTTCTACTTTTAAAGTGGTTAGAAATAACAAACCGATCTCTCAAACAAATTACCTCATATTTTTTTAAAATGGAACTCATTTTCTGCATATATATATATATATATGTACAAGAGTCGTGGAAACAGACTTTTCCTTTTGTATAGTCAGGCATTCATTCATTACTATTTGTTGTACAGGTTATTGACTTTTCCTGTTGTATAGTCTGGCATTCATTCCTTACTATTTGTTGTACCAGTTATTGACTTTTCCTGTTGTATAGTCAGGCATTCATTCATTACTAGTTGTTGTACAGGTTATTGACTTTTCCTGTTGTATAGTCTGGCATTCGTTGTACAGGTTATTGACTTTTCCTGTTGTATAGTCAGGCATTCATTCCTTACTATTTGTTGTACAGGTTATTGACTTTTCCTGTTGTATAGTCAGGCATTCATTCCTTACTATTTGTTGTACAGGTTATTGACTTTTCCTGTTGTATAGTCAGGCATTCATTCATTACTATTTGTTGTACAGGTTATTGACTTTTCCTGTTGTAAAGTCAGGCATTTGGACCTGTTATTGACTTTTCCTGTTGTATAGTCAGGCATTTGGACCTGTTATTGACTTTTCCTGTTGTATAGTCAGGCATTCTTTCATTATTATTTGTTGTACAGGTTATTAACGTCCTATTTACAGCTATGGTCATTAAAGGACGTGCCAGGTTTTGATGGTGGAGGAAAGTCGGAGTTCCAGGAGAAAAAACACCGACATGTGGCCAGTTCCTGGCATCTTCCCCACGAAGGCCTCGAACCCGCGACCGAGTGGTGGAGGGCTAGTGGTAGCAGAATGTCCGACGCCTTAACCACTTGGCCAACGCGGCCCTCTCATGCCTGGTAGAGTCTTTTAAAGTTCCATAGAGGTGAAAGGGTTAACTTATCAAAAAGAAAAATTCTTAAACAAGAAACAGAACCATCACAGAAAGAAATATTTTTTTAAATTTTGTTTCACTATTGATTGTTAGAAAAGAAGGCAGTTTTTTTTCCCCCATTCATAATAACAATGGACTTGTTTCTGGCCCATAAGGTTTTGACAAAAATCAAATCAATAATTTATAAGCTGAGCAAATGGGTGGTTGGCCAATCAGAGACAGGAAATTTCAGCCACATCATTATGTCTATTTGTCCGATGTTTTACAATGAGAACCCTACTTGATGTGCCTTACCAGATGATGGGGGCAGAACTTCTTCAGAAGACCATTGTCCTCATTCTGAAAAAAAAAATCATTCAAAATAATAAAACGTCTCTCAAACTCTTCGGATATTGATTTTTAATAATTAAGTTAAATTTATATTTGTTAAATCATGATATTTTGTTTGGCAAGTGAAACTATTTCATATCAGATTACAATTTTTATTATGTTTTTGTCTAGAAATGTACGAGGGAGACAAGGAACTCTTGTGTCTGACCCTAAACCCATACGCCATATCTGTAATATTACCAGGAATAACCTCAGAGTTCCGACAAAGAATTGTTTATATGGCTTGCCTGCCTCAAAAATAGGCCGATGATAATGAGCTTTGATATACATTATCTAACTTAAAGCTGAAAGTGCAAGTTAAAAAGCTTTCAACCGAGATTAAAAAATAAATAAAATCCAAAATATTTTTATCACCTTGCGCTTTTTATACCCAGCAAGACCAATACTCGTTACCAAGCAAGGAAAAACTAAAATGCTGGCACTTCCTTAGAAACTATAATCGGAACAGACAGGGAAAATCTCAAAACCAGAAAAAATATTTTGATTTTTTTTTTCAAAATCTCAATTGAAAGCTTTTTAACTTGCAATGTCAGCTTTAAGTATCAGAGCTTGAGATGGAATTAAATGAGACAGGAATGGTTGACTTATATTTCTCCCACCCTTCACAGGCGTGTCTCCCGTTTTAGCCGGGAAAGATCAGCTTGTCACTCCCTAGGGCGAGATAGCCTCGTGACAATAAGCACGTGTTCAATTGTGACATCATAAAATGTGTCACCGGTAACATTGTGACGTCATCAAAAGTGAATGACAATATGCATACCCCACATGTGTTCTTGTTTACAAACATGGCAGACTACTGTCGGTGGAGTTGTGACTGAAATAATGGGATAGGAGAAAAATAATCATCCCCTACCTGGAGGGTGTAACAGATTGTCTAACCCTCGGCAGAGCCTAGGGTTTGACAACACAAAAAATCCCCCCTCGGATAGGAGATTTCTCTGTCACACCCTCAAGGTAGGGGATGATTCTATTAATCTTGGTTAGTTATCGACAGATACTTACATTGCTGATCTTTCTCTTGTCGTATACTCTGTAACGAACAAAACAGGCTACAATGATCAATGTAAGTTAACATCCAACAAAAGTAGTTCAACACACTGAAATAATTTTTCTAAAATACCCTGATGATTTTAATCTAGCATGATTGTAATGTAATGCCATATAGATCTAGACTTGGTCTCGGTATGAAGGCCATATTGAGAGAATTCAAAATAAAGTAAAGAAGACAAAATTCGGCGAATTATAGTCCCCCACCGAATGTGACACTATGTATGCTTCTTCTTCAATGCAAGTGAACCCATGCCCCAAGCAAGAAGTTCCAGTAACTAGTAGTGTAGGAGATAGAGCTCGGACAAACTTTTTCTTTGATGCAGGTCAAAGGTCAAACACAGAGTGACCTACTTTGATATACGACACACCGCCTCACCAAGATGAACCATACTCCAAGTATTAAGTTCCAGTGACTAGTAGTGTAGGAGATAGAGCTCGGACAAACTTTTTCTTTGATGCAGGTCAGAGTGACCTACTTTGATATACGACACACTGCCTCACCAAGGTGAACCCATACCCCAAGTATGAAGTTCCAGTGACTAGTAGTGTACTTTCTGAGCATGTAACTGTCCAAATATATTAAATCCAAGGCCTTTTGGCCAAAAGAAGTTGTTTAAAAATTAAATATTTCTGACCCCTGTAACCTTGAAAATGGGTGAAATTTTGAACCCGTCATTAAATCATGTTAATGGCTAAATATCAACGTTTTGGGCATCTTGGTTATTCAGAAGAAGTTGTTTAAAGTTTTCAAATATATTTGACCCCTGTGACCTTGACTATAAGCTAAGGTCATTCATTTTAACAAACTTGGTACCCTTCATCCCATTATATAACTGGTCAAATATCATCAATCTAGGCCTCTTTGTTATTCAGAAGTTGTTTTACGTGAAAAGGTTGACGACGGATAGCTGATTGACGACAAACGGATGATAGACGCTGCACCACGGCATAAGCTCACTTAAGGGCCAGGTGACCTTAAACTTACCAACATCTATAATTACCTGTTATAGTGGTTGTGACCCCCTACAGAGTCTATATAATTACCTGATATAGTGGTTGCGACCCCCTACAAAGTCTATATATTTACCAGATATAGTGGTCTATAGTGGTCGCAACCCCCTACAGAGTCTATATAATTACCTGATACAGTGGTTGCAACCCCCTACAGAGTCTATATAATTACCTGATACAGTGGTCGCGACCCCCTACAGAGTCTAGATCATTACCTGATATAGTGGTCGCGACCCCCTACAGAGTCTATATAATTACCTGATACAGTGGTCGCGACCCCCTACAGAGTCTATATAATTACCTGATATAGTGGTCGCGACCCCCTACATGCAGAGTCTATATATTTACCTGATACAGTGGCCGTGACCCCCTACAGAGTCTATATAATTACCTGATATAGTGGTCGCGACCACCTACATGCAGAGTCTATATAATTACCTGATATAGTGGTCGCGACCCCCTACACAGAATTCCATGGAGTTTGCTGGGTTGGAGTGGATTGAGTAGAGAGGCACCTTCTTTTCCCCTTCCTTTGTGAGGACCAGCCTGTAAAACATTTCAAACATTTGTACGTCAGTGCCTGTGAACCCTGCAGGGACTTCCCTAAAAATATATAAGCATTGCGCACACATCTGTCGGCCCTGCAGGGACTTCCCCTAAATGTTTTAGCGTTTCAAACACATGTACAGCTATCAGCCCTGAAGGGACTACCCTAAAAATATTTCAGCATTGCGCACAAAGCTGTCAGCCTTGCAGGGACTTCCCTAAACATATTTTAGCATTGCACACAAAGCTGAGCCTTGCAGGGACTTCCCTAAACATATTTTAGCATTGCGTACACAGCTGTCAGCCTTGCAGGGACTTCCCTAAACATATTTTAGCATTGCGTACACAGCTGTCAGCCTTGCAGGGAATTCCCTAAACATATTTTAGCCTTGCACCCACATCTGTCAGCCTTGCAGGGACTTCCCTAAACATATATTAGCATTGCGCACACATCTGTCAGCCTTGCAGGGACTTCCCTAAAAATATTTTAGCATTGCGCACACAGCTGTGAACCATTCAGGGACTTCCCTTCAAATATTTTAGCGTTTCAAACACATGTACAGCTGTCAGCCTTGCAGGGACTTCCCTAAACATATATTAGCATTGCGAACACAACTGTGAACCCTGCAGGGACTTCCCTTAAATGTTTTAGCGCTGCACACAGCTGTGAACTCTGGGTTGAAACAATTTATCGCAAACACGTAAAACATCCACAAGTTTCTTTATGTGGTCCCTATGATGACTTAGTATGAGGTATTGATCATGATCTGTGTTGCTCTGTGGCACCAGTCAGTTAGTCACTGCCCAAATATCCATTGTATTTAAACAATACTGGTAATTATCGAAACTTGAGTGAGTGTAATAAAATAAGCCCCATTTATACTGATTACTGCCCGCAAGGACACAAGATATTTGACGAATTGCTATGAAAGCTTTTAAAATTGAATATGCCATATTGACTTTTCAAATAGGATATTAATGAGCAAGGAGCGCAGGGCAGATACTAGTGGGTGCAGCACTTAGCAGATCGGGTCTGGGTAATATTCTAGAAGAGGCCTTTTAGACTTCTAGCAATCACTCTGTATCATTTATGTTAACTGCAAAATATGTGTTGACATAAGCATTTTACTCATTCACCCCTACATATTTAAACTGGACTTGCCCAGTCTATGATTTGGTAAGGTTCAAATGTGAGTTTAGGAGGGAATGGGTTTATCATTGCATCAATAAATTGTAATCACCAAAATGGTCGTTTATTTCCCTTACAACGATAGTGTATTTTATTGTACCCGATACTTTAATATCGGTGGTTTATTTTCTTTACACCGGTTGACCTTACAGGTCAACCTCATTTTCATACGTCTTCCTGTTGGTGCTTCTTTATTTTATGTTGTATAATATGTAGTTTATTACCCTGATATTACTATGATTGTTGTGAGGAACTCCTTGTATTGATTTGTGCTAATTTTGAGGACATCAAGCATTCTTGTATTAAAATTATATGTAGAACTAATTTTGAGTGATGTAAGTTTGTTTATAAATCAAGATAAGAAGTGCTTTGTTGTCACAGCTACTTCTGTTTCCTTTTGAATTCCTTCTGATACAGTATTGAATCCAGTGACCAATGACCATATTTGGTCATGATATTTGATCACTGATCAATGACCATATTTGGTCATGATATGTGATCAATGACCATAGTTGGTCTGATATGTGATCAATGACCGTTGGTAATGATATACGATCAATAACCATGTATATTTGGTCATGATATTTGATCACTGATCAATGACCATATTTGGTCATGATATGTGATCAATGACCATATTTGGTCATGGTCATGACTCTCAGAAGAAATACCTACTTGTTTGACTTGTCCTCACGAAGGTCGATTTGGTACACAATTGCGTCCTCACCACAACTCAGGAACACATGGGGCGAGTCCAGTTCCAGGGCGAGCTAAAGCGACAAAGTTAACAATTAAACATCCTGAAGGGAGTCTACCAGATTATCTCCCTTACCTGGCATCGGTCATAGAGGCTGATCACATCAGCCTGTCAACATCTAAATTTTACAACTGGACATTACAAGGTGTATGTATTATTAAATTTCCATTCATATGTTATAGTTAAATTGTGTTCATTTTAATATGTCCTTGGTGTATGAATTATTTACTTAAGTGATGGCACATTGGGCAGACCTCGCAGGAAGGGACATCCCCAACTCTTGGAAAGCTCCATTGTGCCTCACTGAACTATTATCTCATACCGGTAATATAATATATGGTTTGTTTATTTATTTTGTTTCCATGCAAGTGATGTTATGTAAAATTTTGTAAAAATGTGTTGTTTCATATTGTATATATATGTCTTTTACAGGGCCATATTGTAAACTAGACGAAAGTCTAAATATTTTACCCCGTCTAAATTAAATAAAAGAACTTAGTATTAATATCATTATTATTAAGGTTATATGTAATTATCTCCCCTATCAATTGTCATAGAATTGTAGGGCCAGATTAAAACCTTCAGCTGCTGACAGTATCTCAGCTTGCATTTTAATTACTCCAGTACATGTATGTGTACAGGGTATTTACTGCCTTATAGCTTGGATATATTTGAGGCAGACTTTCAGTCCCTTTCCCATTATATTTATACACTTACTTCCTTCTTAATAATAATCAGATTGCACTTAAATAATCCTTGATCTAGAGGTGAAGGTCCAAACTCATTACAAAGTACTGCACACTTATGATTGATGCAATTATATCAAGATATGTTAAATGGTTAAAAAGTTTCACAATTCTGTGCTCAATTGTGGGGGATGGAGGGTGTGTGTGTGAGGGGGAGGGGGCTACTTCATGAGCAGCACATCTTACCTTAACAGCCCTGCTCCCAGGGATTATGTCTTACCTTGTGAGCTCCGCCTTTGTGTTGTGCTAGCTTCTTCGTCTGTTTACACACACCGGTAAGTGAGAGCTCGGCGAGTCTAACCTGGCCATCTCTGGCACAACTCACCACATGGCAGTCCCCGCTGAACGGCATAAACTTGGCCTACGTCAAAAACAGCAGTTACAGGGTAATAACGTCAATTATCTATGTGACTTTCAACAACAGAGAGTATTTTTCAAAGTCAGGCCTGAGCACGAGCAGTGATTATAGGAAGGGCAGGGGTTATGGGCCACTAAATGGAAGGGGTTATTGGCCACTAAATGGCAGGGGTTATGGGCCACTAAATGGCAGGGGTTATGGGTCACTAAATGGCAGGGGTTATGGGCCACTAAATGGCAGGGGTTATGGGCCACTAAATGGCAGGGGTTATGGGCCACTAAATGGCAGGGGTTATGGGCCACTAAATGGCAGGGGTTATGGGCCACTAAATGGCAGGGGTTATGGGCCACTAAATGGCAGGGGTTATGGGCCACTAAATGGCAGGGGTTATGGGCCACTAAATGGCAGGGGTTATGGGCCACTAAATGGCAGGGGTTATGGGCCACTAAATGGCAGGGGTTATGGGCCACTAAATGGCAGGGGTTATGGGCCACTAAATGGCAGGGGTTATGGGCCACTAAATGGCAGGGGTTATGGGCCACTAAATGGCAGGGGTTATGGGCCACTAAATGGCAGGGGTTATGGGCCACTAAATGGCAGGGGTTATGGGCCACTAAATGGCAGGGGTTATGGGCCACTAAATGGCAGGGGTTATGGGCCACTAAATGGCAGGGGTTATGGGCCACTAAATGGCAGGGGTTATGGGCCACTAAATGGCAGGGGTTATGGGCCACTAAATGGCAGGGGTTATGGGCCACTAAATGGCAGGGGTTATGGGCCACTAAATGGCAGGGGTTATGGGCCACTAAATGGCAGGGGTTATGGGCCACTAAATGGCAGGGGTTATGGGCCACTAAATGGCAGGGGTTATGGGCCACTAAATGGCAGGGGTTATGGGCCACTAAATGGCAGGGGTTATGGGCCACTAAATGGCAGGGGTTATGGGCCACTAAATGGCAGGGGTTATGGGCCACTAAATGGCAGGGGTTATGGGCCACTAAATGGCAGGGGTTATGGGCCACTAAATGGCAGGGGTTATGGGCCACTAAATGGCAGGGGTTATGGGCCACTAAATGGCAGGGGTTATGGGCCACTAAATGGCAGGGGTTATGGGCCACTAAATGGCAGGGGTTATGGGCCACTAAATGGCAGGGGTTATGGGCCACTAAATGGCAGGGGTTATGGGCCACTAAATGGCAGGGGTTATGGGCCACTAAATGGCAGGGGTTATGGGCCACTAAATGGCAGGGGTTATGGGCCACTAAATGGCAGGGGTTATGGGCCACTAAATGGCAGGGGTTATGGGCCACTAAATGGCAGGGGTTATGGGCCACTAAATGGCAGGGGTTATGGGCCACTAAATGGAAGGGGTTATGGGCCACTAAATGGCAGGGGTTATGGGCCACTAAATGGCAGGGGTTATGGGCCACTAAATGGCAGGGGTTATGGGCCACTAAATGGCAGGGGTTATGGGCCACTAAATGGCAGGGGTTATGGGCCACTAAATGGCAGGGGTTATGGGCCACTAAATGGCAGGGGTTATGGGCCACTAAATGGCAGGGGTTATGGGCCACTAAATGGCAGGGGTTATGGGCCACTAAATGGCAGGGGTTATGGGCCACTAAATGGCAGGGGTTATGGGCCACTAAATGGCAGGGGTTATGGGCCACTAAATGGCAGGGGTTATGGGCCACTAAATGGCAGGGGTTATGGGCCACTAAATGGCAGGGGTTATGGGCCACTAAATGGCAGGGGTTATGGGCCACTAAATGGCAGGGGTTATGGGCCACTAAATGGCAGGGGTTATGGGCCACTAAATGGCAGGGGTTATGGGCCACTAAATGGCAGGGGTTATGGGCCACTAAATGGCAGGGGTTATGGGCCACTAAATGGAAGGGGTTATGGGCCACTAAATGGAAGGGGTTATGGGCCACTAAATGGAAGGGGTTATGGGCCATTAAATGGCAGGGGTTATGGGCCACTAAATGGCAGGGGTTATGGGCCACTAAATGACAGGGGTTATGGGCCACTAAATGCATATACATTTTTGAACAAATACATTATCCCAGTAAAACATAAGAATTTGTATACAAATTGATAGAAAAACTGAGAAATGTCCCACTAATTGACAATGTGTAGTTTAGCCTTCCTTATCCTTGCTGCTTACAGTTCTCTCTCATCCTCATGGTTCAGCACAAAGGCTATTAGTACCATACATCTTGTATGTATAAAGCTACAATTTAAATATGAGTAACAGAGTGATCAAGGTTATTATTTTTCAATGCCTCTGCTAGGAATCGAACCTGGGACCTCTAGTTTTAATTTACTAGTCCTACGTATACGCTTTACCAAATTAAGTATGAGCTAAAGAGAAATTCTCCAAAACGGAGTCGGTAGAAAGTGGACAGTATTTTACCCGGTGCCAGCTCAGCGTGACATATACTCACCCTCCAGGAAAGAATATGTGCTTCCTTTCCAAGTATTCCTAAGTATTTTGCCACCCTGGTACTTCTGTAGGCTCAAATGCATTAGAGGTGATCATCTTCTCAATGTTAGGAGTTGAACCCAGGACCTCTGGCGTACTAGTCTTACGCTCTACTGAATGAGCTAAACAGAAATTCTCCCTAGCTACGAGTCTGTAGGGTTAACGTAACATAATAATAAACTAAGTACCTGAAAGACGTTGCTCCTGTGTCCGCTGTCGTAAACAAGTGCGGGGCGATTTCGTATCCAGTTCCACAGGACAATGTTTAAATCATCAGACCCACTGGCGAGTAATGTACCTACAAACCATCAAATATAGCCGATCTAGATGTTAGAAAACAGGAATAATTTAGCAAATTCACTGGTTGAAAATGCTCAATCCTAGGGTCCAAAATCGGGAGTCTCCCTCCAAAATCAGGATAGTTGGCAAGTAAGACTATTCCAAACTTTGAATTGGAAGAGTTCAACTGACTTTAGGGGGAATGAGTTAAGAAGTTAGATTCTGGCCACAAATTAAATGAATTGTTTATACAGCTACATGTAAATAAATATTTGCGCAAATGAATTGAATTACACAAATTAAACACACAAGCATTCTAGATCTACTCCTACAGGAGTTTGTATTGACATAGAGAAGATAATAGACTGACCCAGGAGTTTGAATTGTATATATATTAGGCAGTGTAAGAGTTTGTACTGTATTAGAGTAGGCAGGTATAGGAGTTTGTACTGTATTACAGTAGGCAGGTATAGGAGTTTGTACTGTATTACAGTAGGCAGGTATAGGAGTTTGTACTGTATTGCAGTCTGGTATAGGAGTTTGTACTGTATTACAGTAGGCAGTGTAAATTTTGTACTGTATTACAGTAGGCAGGTATAGGAGTTTGTACTGTATTACAGTAGGCAGTGTAAGAGTTTGTACTGTATTACAGTAGGCAGGTATAGGAGTTTGTACTGTATTACAGTAGGCAGTGTAAGAGTTTGTACTGTATTACAGTAGGCAGTGTAAGAGTTTGTACTGTATTACAGTAGGCAGGTATAGGAGTTTGTACTGTATTACAGTAGGCAGTGTAAGAGTTTGTACTGTATTACAGTAGGCAGTGTAAGAGTTTGTACTGTATTACAGTAGGCAGGTATAGGAGTTTGTACTGTATTACAGTAGGCAGTGTAAGAGTTTGTACTGTATTACAGTAGGCAGTGTAAGAGTTTGTACTGTATTACAGTAGGCAGGTATAGGAGTTTGTACTGTATTACAGTAGGCAGTGTAAGAGTTTGTACTGTATTACAGTAGGCAGTGTAAGAGTTTGTACTGTATTACAGTAGGCAGGTATAGGAGTTTGTACTGTATTACAGTAGGCAGTGTAAGAGTTTGTACTGTATTACAGTAGGCAGTGTAAGAGTTTGTACTGTATTACAGTAGGCAGGTATAGGAGTTTGTACTGTATTACAGTAGGCAGTGTAAGAGTTTGTACTGTATTACAGTAGGCAGTGTAAGAGTTTGTACTGTATTACAGTAGGCAGGTATAGGAGTTTGTACTGTATTACAGTAGGCAGTGTAAGAGTTTGTACTGTATTACAGTAGGCAGTGTAAGAGTTTGTACTGTATTACAGTAGGCAGGTATAGGAGTTTGTACTGTATTACAGTAGGCAGTGTAAGAGTTTGTACTATATTATAGTAGGCAGTGTAAGAGTTTGTACTGTATTACAGTAGGCAGGTATAGAAGTTTGTACTGTATTACAGTAGGCAGTGTAAGAGTTTGTATTGTATTACAGTAGGCAGGTATAGGAGTTTGTATTCTATTACAGTAGGCAGTGTAAGAGTTTGTACTATATTATAGTAGGCAGTGTAAGAGTTTGTACTGTATTACAGTAGTCAGTGTAAGAGTTTGTACTGTATTACAGTAGGCAGTATAAAAGTTTGTACTGTATTACAGTAGGCAGGTATAGGAGGTTGTACTGTATTACAGTAGGCAGTGTAAGAGTTTGTACTGTATTACAGCAGGCAGGTATAGGAGTTTGTACTGTATTACAGTAGGCAGTGTAAGAGTTTGTACTGTATTACAGTAGGCAGTGTAAAATTTGTACTGTATTACAGTAGGCAGGTATAGGAGTTTGTGTTACACTCTCTTACCAATTCTGTTGAAGTGTAGAGCATTCACACAGCCTTCATGGTACTCCATTTTATATTGAAGATTAAACCTCTGTACCATTTGTAGACTGCCCTGCACTTTCTCCCTAAAACTGGCAGGGGGCACACGGCTATTGAACCCATACTCTCGATCACGACAGTCGAAGAGGGCACGCCAAGTCTGCTTAGGCCTCTTACTCATGTCTACCATTTCCTCCTCCTCTGAGTCAGAATCGGGCTTCTTCTTCTTAACATTAGAAGATTTAGTTTTTTTCACACTAGATGGTTGATCTTCATCGGAATTGTCCTCGTCAGAATCGTCCTTGATTTTCACATTTTCTTGATTTGATGGTGATCCAGATAAATTATCGTCATTATCACTGTCCGTGTCATCACTATCCAAGAAAAAGTGTCTTCTGCGTTTGTCGCGGAGTCTCCGCCGTATTGACTCGCGCAACTTTCTAACTCTACTTGACTGTCCAGAATCATTTTCACTGTCATCGCTGTCTTTGTCATCATCGGAACAAGACACTGCTGTGGTGACATCCTTTTGCGCACCAGCTTGATTGATTTCGTCAGTGTCCATGTTTTCAATCTCCGTCACAATAGTCTCGCACCCACCCTTTGATGGTTTCTGTGAACATTCTTTAGACATGGAGGCCTCACTGACTGAATTAGTCCTCGACCCTGCACCACTGTCACTGAGCGACTCATTGTTGTCCGATAGTATGGAGCTGTCTTTGCCACTGGTCGGCGTGCGACTTACGTCTATGCCACTGTCGTCTTTTTTCATGAATCCCAGACTGAGATGATTGTCTCCGTTATCCCTGCCCTCCTCTGCAGCCTCCGCATCCTCACCAGCTCCACCTTCACACTGTGAAGTGGCTGCATCTGCCCCATCTATCACAATGGCTCCCAGCTTTACTGGGGAGACTAGGTCACAGTCAATGCCAGATTCACTGTGAGAGTGATCTCCCCTGGCTGGGGAGTTGTTGCTTTGTGTTGTGGCCTGTTTTTCACTGTTGTCAGTGTCATCGGCTCCAGTCCCATCTACACTTCCCACTTCAGCCATTCTCACACTGAAGTTAATTAATGGAGTGTAACCAGCACTGTCACACCTGAAATGTTAAAAATGCCATTGAATTATGATTTGTCCTTTTTCAGCCAGCGGTCATGTTTACCCTATGCCAATGTTTTTTGTTTATATCAAAATAAGCCATAAGAATTCCAGGATCCCATTTTACTTCCATATTTTTCTCTTGGGTTTCTCTTCGTGTGTTTATAATTATTTACTTGCTTGGGACCCCATTAATGAAAAGGATAACGCTACAGATCATCTCTTGAACCAAATAATCTTGACACATGAGAAGCTTGATTCACACATTATCAACATTTCCGAGTTGTTTTGACAAAACAATTGGCAATATTTATTCTTATCTTAGAAAATATAACTGCTCTCTGTGTAAAAATAACAAGGTCATCACATGCCAGCTTGCAATTGACAGGTCTACAAATTCACCATCAATATCATAATTTAATTTGTCATAGTAAATTTTGTTGTTATCAGCACCTCAAAACTCCCTTTTTTTCAATGCCTCCAACAGGAGTCGAACCAATGACCTCTGGAAACTCTACCAAAGGACCTAAAGGAAAATTGTCCCTAACTGAGACTTTTTTTATCATTTTATTTTTCAAAAGATTTTTCATAATTAAGATCTTTATAAAACAAGTATTTTCATTTTCACACTCTCTTGCACACGTTTTTACAAATTATACACTCATCATTTCTAACTGTGACTTTATATATATACAGGATAGTTTAGAACTTTATTGTCCCAAGTTTTCCAGAGGTCATAGTGACTCTTGTGAAACTACTATCACTGAGCGTATTTGTCAATATTTCCTGGGTCCCTACATGGAAACCAATGTAACAGAGGTCATTATTTTTTTAATGCCTCCACTAAGTTGAACCTATGCACTACCGAATGAGCTGAAGAGAAATTCTCCCCAGCTGAGTCCTTAGGAAATGGCTAGTATTTTACCAGGGTGACATTGAGTAGTACGCTCTGGCCCGACCTCAGACATCTATCCGTCAAAATGTCATGGTCTAGTGTCAGGGCCAGGGGAAACTCATATCTTATGTCTAAATCGTATCTGTCTTTGATAATTCTCGTTTTAATTCAAACTCTATGACAAACAAACGAACTATAGGCCTGCACGTGAAAAAAAATCTACATAATTCCAACAAAGACAGACTCAACGTCTTTTACTTTAAAAGAATTGTTTGTGGTCCCGGAAAATACGCAAAGACAAGGAATATCCTGCAGTCTTTTGCTGACATTTTGGTTGGTAATTTTTCCTTTTTCGACCTTACTTTAGACACAGCAAATACGCAAATGCATGGACTGTCTATTTATTTATGACATGCTAGACTGTTTTTTGGACCTCTGGTTAGGTGTCAAACATAAAACTGTAACGGTCAAATGACAGCTGTACATACAATCCTTTTCTCAAATGTCCATATCGTCAGCTTCAAACTGGCGACTTCTTGTTTTCCTTTTTGCGTTTTTCTCCGATGTGACTGTAATTCTCAAACGCGATTGGTCGATAATGCAATTAATTGTAATTTGTTAACATTGCAACCTTACAAAATATATTTTGCCATAACAACGAAGAAGCAAATATATTTTGCTGACAAATTTCTCTAAATATTAACAAAAAGTAATTCATTTAATTTCTGAAAGTTTGACAGGTACCTTTATTTACTGCGGATTTCTGCAATGGCTGACATGAAAACAAACCTCGACTTTGTACTCTGACATAACTCGTATTTTTTACTCAAAATGTTTACTGCATTATTCAAAGACCTCCGATCGTTTGCCGTCAGTAACATAGCATATTTTCATAATGGAAAAAGCAGTACACAAGCAAAATTTCACGCGGCATTTTGTTTATTACAAGAACACATAGATCGTGGTATCCAACCAACAGTGGAATTGATAGCTCCGCGTTTGGCAGAATACGATCTTTCACCTGACGTCCAGGCCAATGGATTCCGCAGCATCATCAAAATCATTCATAAATGTTGTCTCCACATCCTACAGCTGGTCCGCCATATCCACGTTAACCGTGAATCCATGTTTTTCCGGTCGGCCCATTACAGTTCCGAGTTGGAGGCCTATGTGGAGACGCTGGGACAACTCCGTGCCTGTCTAGAGCACGCGTATAAACTCATGGACTTCTGTAAGAACGGGAGTCTGTTCGCGGACGAGGAGATGATAGATGACGCCATAGCAGAGGAGCTTACACAGCAAGTGGAGAAACTCAGTCAGGAATGTTTTTATGGCAGGACCATGGGTTTCCAGGTTTGTTTCCACACGGAGATCCAAAATCACACCACTCAAGATTCATATATGTTTTATCGTTACTGTTTAAGGCCTAAAGAACTGACACTGTATCTAAGGTGGCATCTAGGATCACAAAGTTTATACACCCGTAGCGTAACTGGACCGGGTCGATCGTAGGCGACCAGATAGCTCAATTGGTTGAGCGTCCGTCTAGAGTTTGGAAGGTTCCGGGTTCCAACCCCGGTCTGGCCGTGCATTTTCCCTCTCCTGTTACATTTGGCGCCCAACGAAATATACCCACAGAAGGTGGTATAGTGTCTCATGTGTCTTCTAGGTCAAAAACTTTGTTAAGGGAGAGAGGATTATGTAGCGGAACTTGACTGGTTCGATCGTCGGCAACCAGATAGCTCAATTGGTTGAGCTTCCGTCTAGAGTTCGGAAGGTCCAGGGTTCGAACCCCGGTCTGGCCGTGCATTTACCTCTCCTGTTCATACCAACTGGTCTATTGTTTATGAAAGATATGGTTTTGCTGAATGTCTTTTAGACATTCATTGTGGTATAATTCTCTGACACCGTTATAAAAATCTGCTATGAAACAACACATACTCGTATACTAGTGGTCAGGTTATATGACACATGACTGTACATATATATCAATAAATGGATTATTAATTACCCAAAACCGTCATTAATATCACTTTCCGCTACTAGATTCTGTCAGCATTCCATTTGATTCTAGATTATTCATCTACAAGTTGTAGACTTCGCTTTTATTCTTATTTCAGTTTTGCAGTTCTATGCAGAAACCTCTGAACACGGTTGGAGTGACGATGGCTTCCTTCAGTGAAAATTACCTGGACAATAGGTCGCAGCTCATGCAGCTTGCGGGCACTGTGCTAAGTAGTGGAAAATACCTCCTCAATCCAGAGCTCCGTGCAAGACAGGTAAGGTCAAGGGAGTGATGTGCATGTTTTTATTATGTCTTACCGACCCTGTATAAACATGATTCTGTCTTACATAGATGTTAATGGAGAATCCTGTAGGTTTTTTTTCTTTTTTTTTAAAGGGACATCACGGTGAAGTAACTTTATTTTTTGTCTTTTTTTCAAATACTACATAAACATATCAAGTGAGACTCCTTATGGAAAATAACCATCGGATTTGGCTGAAATAGATTCATAAAAATGATTAAATCGAAGAAAATCATCGGTATTTCTACCTGTCTGACCAACGTTTTGTTCAGGGATTTCCCTCTACTTGCGCATGCGCTTAGCACACGTGCACCATTTCTTTGTAAACAAAATGACTGGCCGTGTGAAGTAAGCGAAAGAAAAGTGTTGTACCGTGTCAGCTACAAAACGAAAAGTTGCCAAATGGTCAAAAGATAGCACAAGGAGTACGTTACAGAATCATTATTGCAGGTGGGCAGTATTCAAAGGAGAAAATAACTGCCGTAGCAGTTAGTACGGTGCATGTATTTTTCCGGATAGCCGATTAAGCTGAAATGGAATCAACAGAAATGCTAGCGCTGTTTATGTTATGAATAAATATCTAAAACTATTAAGCTCGCTAGTATCTTATAACTGTTGTGATGGCCCACGGCGTATTTTCTGGGTCACCGAGATACGTGTTATCTAAGTCCGTGGATTTACATAATTTATAATATTACCTGGTTCAATAAAATGGTATGATTTAATTATATTGCTGAATTAAATGATTATTTTTGTTTTTACATGTAAGATTTAAATTAGTACTAGTATGAATATCCGGCCTCCTCTGTCCCGGCAATATATAAAAAAAAATCAGAAAGGTTTGTCCCTTGGTGTACGGAAGGTGTTTAGCCCCGTACCATCTGTACCGGCCACATTCCGGTACTAAATTCAATATATTTAAATATATCTACTTTATCTTTATGCCTATTATCATTGTTGACATTTAATTGTAAATGTATGACAGGAGAAGGCTGTGATAAATTGTAAAAACTTGTGCCCCATCCCTTGTTTAACTTTATTGGCAACAAATTTATGTTTAAAGCTAAATAAATTTAAATTCTGAACATTGGCAAGTGTGCAATTAACTTCTAATGATGAATAATTAATGTTCAATAAGTTTGAATACAGACTTAGAAATCATATAACTTGGTTTCATAGTGCGATAAGAAGTTGCAGTTGCCCGACGGCCCCTCTCTGGGGCCCCTTTGCAAACCGTTTCATCTCGCTCCCACCACTTGTGTTTACTGCCTAGTCAGGTGACGTTATCGGCGCTATTTTTAGCAGGGCTTTCCCGAACGATTCAAGTGGTCAAACTGGACATTTGGAACGGACTATGAATATGGGGATAGCGAGGTAACATAAGTGGAAGTGCATACAATACATACATTCATTAAAAAAAAACGCCTTTTCACATGATGTCCCTTTAAGTAACTCTAATTTGAAGTTTAGTTAATTTAAACATATTTTATTGTACAAATATACAAATGGATTGGACAACAATTTATAACAACTTAATAACAGTCCTCTCCTAAATATCTATGGTAAATACAATGTATATGTTTTAGGGAACGGGAATTAATTACCGACCCTGTTAATGGAGAATCCTAAGTTTGATTCCTAGAGTTCCTGTGTTTTTTGGGGTTTTTTTAGTGACTCTGATTTGAACAACTGTCAATTCTGTTAAATACCTCAGAAGTCATATTTTAAATTGAATACAAGTGAAAATAAGGACAGACTTTTAACACATATTTTATAGTTACATGTTATGCAGTATCATAAAGCCGTCGCATAAATTAATTATGTAATATCACTCTGGATATGATCACGTCACAATCGAATAGGAACAATCAATGTGATGTCAAGTCGTTGTAAAGCGGACACAATTTTCATCGTTTCAGGGCGGTCAAGTGCAAAAAATTCGTTTCAGGTCACAATTATACAGCTTACTTCGTATCATATGATAAAAAGAATCTGTCATCTGTTTCCCTTCATATTAGATTGATGATACTCGTTTTGGATTTTTCATGTTTGCGAGCCTCTGGCGAGTATCATAAATCTAATATGAAGGGAAAGTATGACAGATCTCTGTCCTATATTTACAGCATATCATTTTAACTCATTCACCCCTGAAGACACATTTGAACTCTTTCAATTCATAGATTGGAATAGTTCATTATGAAATTTCAGGGGTGAATGAGTTAATATCTTTAACCTCATTATACTCTTGATCTTACTTAAAATTTTCAAAGTATGAGGGCCGAGTTAGTTGTTCAGTGGCTTCTGTACAAGTTCTCACAAGAAATATCTGATATGGATTGCCTTCCAAATTGTTATACATGTATACCAAATGATGAAAAAATTGACAATTTGTTTCGGATACACATTGTTTAATAATATCTATGGGTACATTGTACATTATACCTGGTCATAGATGTGATAAAGTCTATGAGCCTCCTCATCTCTGGCCCTCTGTGACATATATCGCGATGGCTTCCTTTATCAGCCACTTGATTGCTCTCTCTGTCCAATTATATGGAGTTATCCCAGTCAATAACATGATTATTTGTAAAATGAAAAAAAAAAAAAAAAAATTAACATGAATATGCTGCATGGTATGCTCTGTGATTGCCGATTCCAACTGCCTCTTTTCTGATCAGATGAAGTGATAGCGTAGCGATCCAATGGATATTTTATGGAGAATATATTGTCGTGAATTCCTGTGATACAATGATTTGATTGTTGAACAGATATGTGCAGTGACTAGGATGGCGGACGTAAGGTTTTGCAAGGCATTCTGGTCCATCACAGAATCCGGTATCATGCAAGTAAGTTAAATATTAATTCATATTATATATACAGGAAAACCAGTGTTTTTTTTTAAGTAAATTTTACAACAGACTGTTCTTGCATGAAAAGCATTTTTGTTGAAATTTGGAAGATTTAAATCATTTTTTCTTCATTTTCTGACAATAAAGCACAGTTTTTTAGGTCACCTGCCCTAAGGGCAAGTGAGCTTATGTCATGGTGCGGCGTCCGTTGTCCGTCCGTCGTCCGTCGTCCGTCAACTTTTCCTTTAAACAACTTCTTCCTAAGAACCGACAGGCCCTGGTTGCTTCCTGGGATAAGTTTGAAAATAAAAATGACCTTGACCTACTTTCAAGTTCTCGGGGGTCAAATGTGTCAACACTTCAAACGACTTCTCCTGAAGAACTGAAAGGAATAGAATCTTCATATTAAGCTGGTTGCTTCCTGGGATAGAGCCTGACAAAGTTTGAGAATGGAAATGACTTTGACCTACTTTCAAGGTTACAACGGTCAAATATGTCAAACTCTTCAAACGTCTTCTTCTGAAGAACTTAAAGGGATAGAATCTTAATATTTGGCTTGTTGCTTCCTGGGATAGAGCCTGACAAAGTTTGACAGTTAAAGTGACCTTGACCTTTTTTCAAGGTCAAAGGAGTCAAATGTGTCAAACTCTTCAAACAACTTCTTCTGAAGAACTGAAAGGTAAAGAATCTTTATTTTATGCTGGTTGCTTCCTGGACTTTCCTGACTTTAGGTGTTATTATAATATTACTGTCTGTAGATGGTAATACTATTTTGCATTACTGTGGTCAGGGTTTGATTCCCCGTTCAAGTGTGAAAAGGTCATGGGGTCACCAGACCATATCTGGGGTATTCTCCCTGTACTCTTATTATGCATATAGTGCTGCCCATGTCCGTCCCATCGCGTCCCATCGCGTCCCGTCCCGTCCATGAACGGGGGCATTTATGTCTTACAGACATTTTCTAGTTTCCCTCCAACATTAAGACCTACTGCATGCTAGTTAATTATATCCCGGCCAACAAGATTGATTTATATAAGTTGAGATATAGCTTGTTTTATAACTGTTGTGAAATAAATAAAGTTTTGTATTTAAAATTTTATTTTGTATCAGCTCTAGATCTCACAGTTCAATGGTATTGTCAAATTATGGGCTTGCACAAAAAGGATGATCGCTAATCAGGATTTCATTTCTGTGGTCTTTATATGATTTTCATTTGATTGCAGCAGCTGCCAACATTCGTTTGTCCGTCGGTGCAAGTGAACGAGGTGCTGGTTCTGCAGCCAGAAACGTTTGAAATAGAGGCTGCGGACAGCAAGGAAACTGTGACAATCACGCCTCCCTGTGCCCACACTGGTCACGGTCCAGTGAATACCCGTCTATTCTCCAGCGAGTACAGAGTCGGTCAGGTATGTCGGTGGAGTTGAAGTCAGTTCAAACCAGTTAACAAATTAATTGATAGATAATTGGTGAAATAATTAGGGTAAAATCACAATTTCTATCTTTCCTGTATTTCTTCAAAACAGTGTTTTTGCAGAAATTTCAGTCCTATGCACTGTTTTCAAAGTTTCGTTATTTTAAGAACATTCTCCATTTTGAAAAAAAACACTTACTGGTTGTGATACACAACCTTTTTACATTTGGAAAGTTTGGTTATAGTTTGAGAATTAATATACTTTTTTTTAACTGTGGTGGTTAACAGAATGAAATTTTCTTAAAAAATATTTGACTAATTCATGTATAGGCTTAATGATTTTATGTTAACCACATTGTATTTCAAATTATATTGATGTGGATATAGAGGCAGCAATGCCTGCGTCCACTAATATCCTATTTAAGAGTGAAATCTCATTAAAAATTGTTTGACTTCATTGTAAAATTGTTAATTAATAATTACAACAGTCTTATCCTTGATCTCCCTTATGTAATCCAATATATTTTCCTTTTAGTCAATTCACCCCTATGTACCTTTAGTAGACTCGACCATGCATTGATATGGATGAGTCCATTATAGTCTATTGTGAGTGTGACTGGTGAAAAGAAAAAAACCCATGTACCAGTAGATTTATAACCTGAGGACTGTGAATGTTTATTTTACTGCCTTGTTGTATGCTGTCTGTTTATAATGTCTTATTGACAATTTAGTTCTACGTTCTACATATTTATGATGTCTTAGTGACACTTTTCATGGCCTTTGCATAATGTTTACAACATAAATCTCTTAGAAACAATTTTAATGTTGAACTCTGCATTTTTCAGCCAAGGAAGTCGACAAAACCACTCCCGAAAAAGACAACGCCACTGCCCCTGTCTCCTTGTCTTCTGATCCACTGTCACGGCGGGGGATTTGTGGCCCAGTCGTCAAAATCACACGAGGTAATGTTGTAGAATGTGGTCCTTCCTCATTCTTCAAAATCAGAGAAAAACATCCAAAGTAGATATCAAGACACTAATTTATATATATTTCAGTATTGTTTCAACTGGCAAAAATCCAAATAAAAAGTTAAATTGATAAACTATCATGCTTTTTATTCAAGGATAAATCCGAATTACTTTACATCTGATTGGTAAAAGAGTTATCTCCCCTACATTAAACAAACATAGATAAATAGATTCTTGTTTAGGCACTGTTCGAAATGTTTTTTTTAGAGAATCAGAACATTTGTTAACGTTGATTTATTTCCGTGATTTATAGTACAGGCATTAAATCATCAATGGATGGAAGCCAAAATATTTTTGGTGAAAAATGAAAATATTATGAACATATATATATATTTATATATATTTTGTGTATGTTACTCTTTACTATAGTCAATTTAAATGGGTAAGCTACTCCAAAGTCAGAAACTGGCAAACAAATTGGAACTCTTCTTTATTTGAGATACATCACATAGTGCTGGGGCATTATATACCTTAACATTTCCAATGTGTCATCAGTGAAAAAAAGTAGGTGATGTTCAAATTTTTGAAAGTTTATTTCCACGTTTCTTACTTTGGAATCCTTACTTTGGAACTCTTTTGAAAGAAGGTAGTGTCATAGTAATCAGGTGTCATATTTCCTTAAGTTACATTTCATTTCAGAATTGAGTATTGTAATTAAGTTACAGGTTATATGTAAATGTTCTGTTTAATGTTTTTGTAGGTGTATCTGAGACAATGGGCGAAGGATCTGAATGTGCCGATCCTGTCAATCGACTACTCCCTCTCTCCAGAATCCCCCTTCCCTCGTGCTTTGGAGGAGTGCTTCTATGCTTACGCCTGGGCTGTCAAAAATTGCCGCAGTCTTGGTCAGTTCTGAGATCTATACAAACTGATAAGTTTTAAAAATTTCAAGCAAAGTTATATATAATTAAACATCGAGGGTTTTCAGGCTCATGTCCCTCATCAGTCGCTTTGAGATAGACAGCACTGTCAAAAATTGCCGCAGTCTTTGTAAGTTCTGAGATCTTTACAAACTAAAGATTTAAAACATTTTATAGAAGTTACTCAATGAGAGTTTTCAAGCACCCGTCCTTCAATTAATAAGTTGTGTTGAGATAGTCTGGGCTGTCCTTCAATTAATCAGTCGTGTTGAGGAAAAAAATTACAGATTCTATGTGATGTCTGTTAATAGAGCTATATAGAGTGGCATAATATACAGTGGAGAATAAGTTATCTAGATGAACAACAATCTGTTCTTAATGTGATCAGGTGGCGCAGTGGATAACACACTCGTTCTTTACCAAGAGGGCCGGGGTTCAATGCCCCGATCAGACATTATTTAAAGGTATGGGGTCACCTGCCCAGCCACTTCGATTTTCAGATTTCCTCTCACATTAAACTCTCTGCAGGCTAGCATCCCAGCAAATAAGAGTGATTAATATCAGTTGAAACAACTTGTTTAATAATGGTTCCAAAATAAATAAATTTTATATTGTATGTCTTAATATGAATATTAATAAAACTATGAAGAGTGTGTCAGTGATACACAAATACTGAATAGTTGGTCATTTTCACAGGGGATGTAATTTTTCTGTATTTGAAGGCAAAAATTAACAGCATGAATATCAGAGATAAAAAGAAAACACCCTTTTACTGCCCATCAAGAACTCAATTATGTATTTTACGTAATTTTGATAAAACGCTTGTAAAATTATCCGATCACACAAATACAAAAGTATACTCTTAAACGCAATTCTTTTTACCTGGCAATGAATTGTCGCCCCAAATTTAATCCCTGCAAACAAACTATGATCTGGACAACAACGGAATATTAGCCTTGCGAAATCAGATGACTAAACAGTACAGGAAAACTGCACACATACTCATAGGCTTCTCAGTCAATTTATTGACAGGCTTGGACACTATAGAATTATATCGTAGTAAGTGAATTGTATTTGGTTTCGCAGGCTCGACAGGGGAGGTTATATGTCTCGCAGGCGACAGTGCCGGAGGGAACCTTATGATCTCCACAGCGATGAGAGCAGCCTCATTTGGGATCCGAGTCCCGGACGGGATTGTGGCCGCGTACACCCCAGTTCTGGTTCATTATACACCCTCGCCTTCCCGTATGCTGTCCCTGATGGACCCGCTCCTTCCTGTTGGTATTCTAGTCCGCTGCATGGCAGGTCAGTCTTCTCTCTTGGTTTTAAAGTCAAAGTCTGTCATTAAAATTTTATTTTCAATTTTGTTTGTTTTTTTGTTTGTCTCCTCCTATATGTGTTTAATGAATTTCAATGATGCAGCAGGAGGATATGACAGAATGCTAATGAAATCAGTAATATAGACGTATCAATAAGGCCAAATAAAATTAATTACTTGGTTCTCAGGCCAGATTTATTCAAAAGAGATGCGGCAGGGCGGTATTGTTTTTTTCCATTTTACATGGCAAAAACGAGACGAGAGCGATTTTTATGTTATTGTGTAGTTTGTAAAACGTTCATTGTGGGCATTACCTTGTCTTTTTATAGTTGTGTAGAGACCCATCATAGAGAAAGCCTCCGAAAATTCCCCCACGATGTTCCAGACGAGAATCACGAACCCCCCATTCCTTATTTGTACCGAAATGAGCACCATTTGTACACAAGACTAATATGTCATAATCATTTAACGCTTGCCTGTATTTCAATCCTTATCTTTATTCAAACGTTTTCGGGACTTGGGTGACTAACGAGTAAAAGACGGCGGCTGGCGTATTCACATTTTTTTTTTATTACTTTCATGTTAAAATCGGCAATGCGGTGCCCTAAGATGAAATGCATGCAGGCCTGAGAACCAAGTAATCATTTTTTTTGGCCTAATATAACAACACAGTCATCAATGTTCATGCAAATAATAGCTTAAAGAGAGCGACCTGTAGTTACATTATTTAATTTTGGCTATTACCAAACACTTTTGTATATCTAATCATAGCTGAGATACAGTTATTCCCAACCACATCTTGATTAGATGGTTTTACTTTTCAGCATATGCAGGTATCCCCAATGACTTCCTTGACCAGAGGCGTAGCAGTCGGGAGATAGAGGAGGAGTTTGTTGTTATAGAAACGATGGACTGTGAAGAGGACAGCCCCTCCAGTGACTCGTACATCCAGGACGATAGCTCATCTGTTGACATTCTCAACAGAGTTACCTCCCTTGAATCTCTGGACTCTGACTTGGGTTTTCCGGTGTCCTCAAATAACCAGACTGTCAACTTATCGGATAGTGACTCTGCTGTGATCGTTGTTGGCGGTGCTGGCGGTGACCAGAAACAGTCTGATCGGGTTGCAGTAGATAGAAATGTTCTTGGCCAGTCTGATGCTGGGGTCAGCGAAATTACCTCCCCTGACGAGTTCAAAAGTGTGTGTCTGGACACAAGTGGGGGGAGCTCTCTAGCAACATCCACACTGGGTGATCTCCCTTTGGATGAGAAGGGAGATGACCCCAGTAAACAACTGTCCCAGCTAGAACTGGCAAACAGCCAACCCCCTTCTCAACGTTCATGTCAGTCCCTACACCTGAGTCTGCCAAGCTCCCCAACAAAACGTAGAAACAAAAGTGACTTTCCTATGAGTCCGAGCATGCCAACGATCGGTGTTTCTGACCGTCTAGGTCAAAAGAAAGGATTCAGCCCAGTGTACGAAGCTCGCCACCACATTGAGAGCCCCGTGCGTATATTCCGAAGTCTTCCAATAGTAAAAAACCCCTACATGTCGCCAATGGTTGCCCCTGATGAGATGCTGGCGTCTCTACCTCCGCTTTATCTTGTGGTAAGTAGATACATTGATGAGTCTCAGATTTACTGGATTTACTTACAAATTCAATTTACATGGCCTTTTAGGTTAAAACTATCGTTATGTGTAAGAAATTTGACAGTGAAGTATTGATAATGTTTGTTTCCAAGTTTTATTGTTGAGACTTCACTGACAGGTACTGTTTGTAATTATGGTAATTAGGGGGATGTTGATTGACAGGTAATGTCTGTTGCCATGGTTATCAGTGAGACATTGATTGACAGGTAATGTCTGTTGCCATGGCTATCAGCGCGACGTTGATTGACAGATAATGTCCGTTGCCATGGCTATCAGTGAGATGATGATTGACAGGTAATATATGTTGCCATGGTTATCAGTGAGACGTTAATTAACAGATAATGTTTGTTGCCATGGTTATCAGTGAGATGATGATTGACAGATAGGGTCTGTTGCAATGGTTATCAGTGTAATGCTTTAATGTAGCAATGGGGGCAGTTGATCAATTTTGGTTTGATCAAGATTTCTAATAAATGGGTCTCTCATTAGTCGCCTAATGACAATATGTAGTGGGAAATAGCAGGCCTATCCTTTTCTCTCACCTGCAGGAATTATCAATCAAATCAACAGTGACTCATGAGTGTTGTTGTATGTTTCAGGGCTGTCACCTTGATCCCCTGTTGGATGACTCGGTGATGTTCGCCAAGAAGCTGAGGAGCTTAGGGAGGACTGTAGACCTCCACATGGTTGACGATCTTCCTCACGGATTTCTCAACTTCAGTCTAGTCAGCGCCGAGGCCAAACTTGGTTCCGATGTCCTGGTCGACAAGATCCGCAATGTGTTTCACTCTTCACTCAAAGATGATCAAAATGAGACAGAGTCTTGAAAGATTTCATTAACAGCAGAATTTTATCTTCCTGTCTAATTATGCTTCCTATTTTTGACATGTTTATCAGCATTTATTAGAAACGCAAAAAAATGCTTACCCTGCGCATAACAGGTTTGAGGCTATTTTTTCAGAGACCTCCTACCTGATGATTAAAATGCATTCCAGGCTATTAGAAACCATTGTTATACTTTTGGATTAGGCTTATTTTATATATATTTTGTTCTGATATACCCTCCCCCACAATTTCCTGTGCAATTAATTACCTGTACATAATCACCCTCACAACATTTTGTCTCAGATCTGTGTTACTGCATTGTATAACAAGATATAAGTTTCAGTCACAATTTATTCAATTTAATTTATTTACATGCATGTAATATATTTAAAATCTTGTACAATTTTATAAGGATAAATACTTTCTATAACAGTTTGAAAAGTGTATGTGGTGGTTTTTTTGTGTAATTTCGTGAAAAAAATGATGTTTATTATATTATATCTCTCAAAATAATCAAAACTTCAATGAATGAGGTTCCATTTTATACAATTTGAATATTTTCTTTACTAGCAGTGTGCATGCAATGTTAGTATGACACACAAAATTGTGTGATTTAAAAGTTTTTCAATATACATACACCGTATATGTAATAGTAATTAATGCTGATATGTTTATTTAAATAGATTTTAACACAATTTGCAATTTTTTGGGGAATCAACTTTTAAAAAAAAATCAATATTCTTATGAAAATATCATCACCTTTTTAAAGCAGGACTGTGTTAATTTATTCGTGAAAGTGTTGTGTTATTTTGTGTATATAAGGCAAATATTTTAAAATAGTGGTCTTGTGATCCTTTGATTATCACGTGACTGCAGAGCAGGACACTTGGATGAACCAAACGGCTAGGTATAGATACAGAAAATGTCCAGTGCCTATTTGGCCGTAGTTACCACACAATAAATTTCATTCCGAAGCATATTCTTGACATATATGTACAGACTTTTAATAAAGAAATGTTGGGACTGTACAGAAAAATAGTTCTAAGAATGTTGCATCAAAGATTAACGTTAATTTAAAACAATGTAATCAAATGGCATATTGTACGTCCTATTCTATTTATATAGATATGATATTATATTAGATATAAACGTCATATTTTGTTATTGATTTAGAACATAATGTCTTTCTTTTTTCAGTTTTAATTCGATTATATTTTTACTAGTCATAAGTTTGATTCAAGTTCAATTTCCTTATTCATTATTCAGTTTTAGCCATTTTCAATCACTAATTAATTAATATATATATTCGTTATCAATTTTTTGCTGACTTGAGCTGAAAGCATTGTTATTGTTTATGTTTTCAATGTAACCAATATTCACCACAATTAGCTACAGTTTTCATTTTTTTTTTATTTATTTTTTATTTTTTTATATCGCATGTAAAACCATTTATCTGGTGATCAATTTACCTGTAAATCAATTTTTATATCTTTCCCTTTATATATATATTAGAATCACTCTAAAAAGCATTTGTTTTATTCAGACACACCTGTTATGATCATTACACACACCCTGCAGCAACTAGGAGATCATTTGACAACAGAATGTAGATTTTGAGTTTGTGCGAGTTGGATTTGAATGAGAGTTGTGAGGGAGAATGATAAATTTTGGTCAAAATGAGGGAGTGCACCTCCTAATGAGGGAGTCGACCTCCTAATGAGGGAGTCGACGTCCAAATGAGGGAGTCCACCCCCTAATGAGGAATTCTACCTCCTAATGAGGGAGTCAACCTCCTAATGAGGAAGTCGACCTCCTAATGAGGGAGTCGACCTGCTAATGAGGGAGTCTACCTCCTAATGAGGAAGACACCTCCTAATGAGGAAGCAATCTCCTAATGAGTGAGTCCACATCCTAATTAGGGAGTCGACCTTCTAATGAGGGAGTCTACCTCCTAATAAGGGAGTTGACATCCTAATGAGGAAGTCAACCTCCTAATGAGGGAGTCTTCCTCCTAATGAGGGAGTCTACCTCCTAATGAGGGAGTCTTCCTTCTAATGAGGGAGTCGACATCCTAATGAGGAAGCCACCTCCTAATGAGGGAGTCGACTTTCTAATGAGGGAGTCAACTTCCTAATGAGGGAGTCCACCCCCTAATGAGGGAGTCCACATCCTAATGAGGGAGTCGACTTCCTAATGAGGGAGTCCACCTCCTAATGAGGGAGTGTACCTCCTAATGAGGGAGTCGACTTCCTAATGAGAGAGTCCACCTCCTAATGAGGGAGTCTACCTCCTAATGAGGGAGTCCACCTCCTAATGAGGGAGTCGACTTCCTAATGAGGGAGTCCACCTCCTAATGAGGGAGTCCACCTCCTAATGAGGGAGTCCACCTTCTAATGAGGGAGTCCACCTCCTAATGAGGGAGACGACCTCCTAATGAGGAATTCTACGACCTCCTAATGAGGAAGGTTTTAACAGCTATTACTTAGTTAATGACCTATTTACCTGTAGACCTTTTTTATAGGTAAAACTACTTACATGTAAAACTAATGACCTACTTACCTATCAACCTATTTTTATAGGTAAAACTTATTGCATGTAGACCTAAAACCTACATACTTGTAAATCTTCTTACAGTAAACCTGTTTACCAATACGATTGAGGGAGGCGCACATTATAACAGTTTCTGGACATGTACTTTTATTTTATTCACAAATAATTATAAACTCACTTGCCAGATTCTTTTTTTCAGAGTACCCCCCCCTTGGAGGTATCACAACCTCATCCTAGTGAGCTGTTGATAATACAATGGTGCTCCTGTTTACCTTACCGCACAGGGGCTGGATACACTAATGAATATGATGTGTACATACTATATAATGGTATTATATGGTATATACACAGCGTATTAGTGTGTCAAGCACCTGTGCATTAAGGTATCCAGGTTATTACCCCCAGGCAAAATATAAGTAATGTCAATGGTAATATCGTCATTAAGATTCATCAATTTGGAAATATGTGATATCAAAGTTTTACTTTTTACGCAAACAATGTACGTTCTAAACGTGTCGCAAGGTATCAAGACCTACTGGTCCCTTTGTCAAGCTATGACGGACTCAGTCAGAGCTTGACCAAGGAACTGACCAGTCATAGCTTGACAAAGGGACCAGTCGGTCTTGATACGTTGCGACACATTTAGAACGTACATTGTTTGTGTAAAAAAGGTAAATGTTTGATATCAAATGTCAATGGTAAGCCGCAGTAATCCACTAACTTTTGTTCCCAGAAGAGATTACCTCTGTAGACATCATCGTTTTCAGTAGATAGTTAGTCAACACTGTTGTCTTTGTCTAGAAAAGTTAAAACTTTCCTTCTGTATGGATTCTGGTCAATCTTCATATATAAGTCAGGCCTAATTGAAACAAGTTCTAGATTCAGGTTGCCAGATGACATACTACTTCCTCCGTTTGCTTGAATGGTATTCCATACTGCTCTTCTGCGTGAAATTGATGTCTACCAGGACACTGTCACATAGTGTCAACTTTTCGCCCTTCACCCACAAAGTCAACTTTTCGCCCTTCACCCTTCAAGTCAAATTTTCGCCCTTCACCCGTAAAGTCAACTTTTGCCCTGTGCTAATTTCACCCCTCATTAAATTTATACCTATATATATATATGATGCTGTCTACTTAGATTTGCTGTAATGATAAATTTGTCCTCAATACGGAGTGGGAAAAATGGTGAAAGTTTCCTGGTATTCAATATTCCCCTACCTTGTGCAACTGGACAAAAACCCATCGCCTACGTGTTTCAAAGTATTTATTGTTTGTCATCATGCTTATTACTCATGTTACGTATATTGTTGATGTTAGTTTACGAAAAAAAATCTGTGACTTTGAAAAATAACTGCACCTTTTTTTTTTTTTTTAAATTACATGTGTGTATAGAGACGACATATTTTCATCTGATTTATATCAAATGCCTTGAAATTTACGCTCCCTTTATTTTGAAACGGGTACAGTAAGTGTTACCTAATGAATCTGTTCACAGTGTAGTGGATACACAATTATGAAGGGTATTTTTTTTTTCATTCTCTTTGATGTGTGTAGTTTTGCTACGGTTTTTTTCACCCATAATACCCCATTATTTATTACTGAATTGTATGCTGACGACTTTTAATCTATAGTTTTTTTAATAAATACCGTTACATATAGTTAATTACTTATTTATTTAATCATTTACAAAGTATATGTTATTAATATTGGTGTAGTTTTACAGAAATATTTTGTATGTTTATGGTGACCCCCTCAAAGAACTTTTGATAATAAATATAAAATAGTCATGGATTAAAAAGCTGTTGTTATGATATTAATATTTATATCAATTTTATCTAAATACTTTTGTTTTAAAATCTTTCTGAATATACTATTTTTCATACAAGTAACCATTTGATATATATCCAAGCCAAGTTTTGTGTAAGTGTATTTTTGATTTGATTTTGATTTGATTTGAACAAATTACTGTAAATATACTCATTTTAGAGCACACATGTAATAGTGCATTATCAAAAGAGTTAAGTGCACGGAACTGAATTGGAACACTTACAATATATGTAAAGAAATAATTATCAACTGTCACCGACTTGATCCAAGCTTTAGGGCTAGCCCTTCATCAGGGATTGAGGGAGTCGCAGTGGCCAAGTGGACGTCTGCGGTCGCTAACTTTCCACAACTGGGTTGCAAGTTTGAGGCATATGTGAGGCAGTTGCCAGGGTACTGGCTGCAGGATGCATGGTGGTTTTTTTCCGGGAACTCCAGTTTTCCTCCTCACCTAAATCTGCCACATCCTTAAATGACCATAGCTGTTAATAGGATGTACAACACAAATAAACAAAATCATCAAATATAAATATAAACTTTATTTATTTTACAAAAGTATGAAAGAAGTTATTATAACTTATATATGTTATAAAAACTTACATTAGTCACTCTTGTTGGTCAAGAAATTAGCACCAAAGATTCTTATATCGGGAGGAAAGCGTAGTACCCAGAGAAAACCCATGTGGTCGGGCATGTGGTACCCTGAGAAAACCCATGTGGTTGGGCATGTGGTACCCAGAGAAAACCCATGTGGTCGGGCATGTGGTACCCTGAGAAAACCCATGTGGTCGGGCATGTGGTACCCAGAGAAAACCCATGTGGTCGGGCATGTGACCCATACTTTGTCGTGTCCGATCAAGTAATTAAAGCCTGGCTGCCTTGGTGAAAGGTTACTGCGTCATCCACTGCGCCACCAGACCAATACCCAAATCATCAGGGATATTGAATGGTCGACAACTTTATGTCATATCCATATTTGAAAACAGGAAGCAAATATCGATGTGACAAGTCAATCCCTGATGAAAGGCTGAACCTGAAGACTTATATCAAGTGTGACTGTTGATATTGATTTTATTTCAAACTTATACAAACTTTGTAATAGACAAAATACAGAAAGTTCAGTTTGTAAATTCATAATTTAGCACATGATTAAAAGTGCAAAAACGCAATAAAATAAGATTTCTGCAATAACAATATTTCCGCTAAATAGGATTTCTGCAAAAACGACATTTTGTCTTGAGGCCAAACAAAAACAAACAAAAAACGATATGAATAATGCCTCTTTTACCTTCCCCAGGTTTAGATTGTTAATCTGTATACTATATATGTGTGTATGTATTTTTTACTATTTTAAACAGTCGATCAATGTTTAAGTCTAAAAACACCATCTCTATAAAGCATTAATTTGTAAAAATATTATGGAATATTTTTAACCTTTTTTAATATTGTATTAAGTTTTTGGAGAACAAAAGTGGAATCACTGATATTATATTATTTGGTTTTAAGGATTCTACAAATTTACTGTGATAACAGCACAATCAGAATTGCACAATCATGCAGTGTATTTGTGCAGCCAAATATTAGTGCACACGTGCAGTCAAGGAAGAAGTATGTTTTAGTAAATATGCATGTGACTGTCTCAAATAGACTGAGACCAGGGTTTGAAGATGACCTGAGGTTAATTCTCTTGCTATGAGTTAAAGGTTATTTGATAATAATAATAATAATTGGAGGTTCTTATATACCGCGTT